GTGAGGCAGAGGGATGAGGTGCAGGGGTGGGCAGGTGGTGGGTGGAGCGGTGATTCAGCTGCCTGGCATCAGGTGCTGCACTGGTGTGAGTACTCACGGGGACCAGTCATCCGAGGTTCCCCAGAGCAGCACATCCAGGGGCCTCTCCACCCTCCAATCCCAAGGTCGTTTTGAAGCCCACCAAGTTTACAGGGAAGTCTGAAGGATCCCTGGCCCAGGCTTCTTACTGGGGACAAAGTTCTTGAACAGAGATGAAAAAGTCCACTCCCACCGGGCCAGTGGGCGTGTTCTCCCGAGCACTACAGAGCTGACTATTCACTGGTAGCCTGTCTCAACCGGTGCCAGCTGCTGGAGTGAAGTGAATTCTTTCCTTGGACTCTGCTGATCTGGCCCATTCAAAACGTTGCCCTGTTTTGTCTGAATTCTCTCCCTTTGGATTCTGGGTGTACTGCCAGGCTGACTGGGCAGGCAGCTGACAGAGCCTTTCTCCTGGGCTGAAAATTTCTCCTTAAGGTCTTTGCATTCAGGTTCTAAGGGAGAATCATTTAAGATTCAGAGGAGTTCCCTGGGCCCGAGGGGAAGAGGGGACTTGGGCCTGGTCTTTCTTAGGGACGATGCACTGGCTCTGAGGCCTGCAACACTGGAGGCCCTGCACACAATGCGGAGTTGCCTCAGGACCTGGCTTATGTTGCTGACACCTCTTTGATGCAAAGAAAACAGACCTATGGTGATGATGTCAGCGAGGAAACTGGCAGCAACATAAATGCGCTGGCACCCAAGCTGAGGGATGGCCTACCTGAAACCTAGGGAGGGAGTCAGCTAGACCAGTGCGTCGGCAGGGAGGGAAGGCTGCCCCAGCCGGTCTGAATCCTCGTCACCGTGAAGATGATGGGCACACAGTATCGCCACTGTTTATGTACCTGACAAACACTTACATGGTGCTGCTCTGTGTCACGCACTGTACTAAGTGCTTTATAAATATTAACTCATTTAATTCTTATAAATATTCTATGAGATGGCCTCCATTATTACACACTTCTACACATAAGGAAACGGAGGCACAGAAGGTCAAATAACCTGCCCAAGGTCATGCAGCCAGAAAGCAGCAGAACCAGAATCCCAGCCCCAAGCATTTTGGTGCCAGAGTCCAGGTTCTTGATGTCTCTGCTGTCACCCTCATTAGCACAGTACGATCCCCTATCCCAGAATCCAAAGCAGTAACTGAACCCGTATTCGTAATATTCGCCTCTGCCCTGGACCCAGGCTAAATTGAGACACCATACCTGCATGGAATCACAGTTAGCGCCAAATCCCAAACCTAATTTAAGACAAAACTGGGCTAATTCCTCCTCTCCTAATCCTGACCCATTCCACAACCCTGAATGTGATCTGAAACCTACCCCCAATTTCCACCCAAACACGAATACAAAATTGTTACTTCATCAATAAATTTAACTGAAGCCCAAATTTGAACTGTAGCTCTTAACCTAAACCTAACTAACCCCAACCATGGCCTAAATTGGGTTTCAGTTTCCTCATTCACACAAATTCCGATGCTGACAGTAATTCCGACTCTGATCTTGACGTTCTTAGTAACCCACAGCCTGACCCTGACTAACCCCAGCACTCGCTAAATCCAAACCTCAGGAACCTCAAATGGAAAGAGAGGCTCTGTTATCGCCCTTGAAAGCCCAGTGTGGAAGGAAGGGCCCCCGCAGCCAGCTGTGGCCCTGGCTTGAATCCTCCACTGTCTGTGCTGTGGTGGGCGTGGTGGGGCTTGTTTTTTCAGGAGTGGTGGTGGGTTCGTACCATTTCTCTTAAAATTTCTTATTTTATGCCCCTGTGACCAAAAGCTTGTTTCCGCAAGCCATTTGGCTGGAGTCAGGGATGTGGTCTGTGGTTACATAACAGATCTTAGTTCGCAGGCCAGTTCTCGCCCACACCCACCTCATCCCCACCCTGAGATAAACTCATCTGAATGCATTCCAAAGATTCAAGAAACAGAAAGATGGGGGGGGGCAGAGGGGGGAGCATAGGATGCAGAGAAGACCAGATGGAGGAGAGGAAAGAAAAAAGATGAAGGAAACATAAAAGGTACAGATGAGAGGAAGAGAGGGAGGGGAAGGGCCAGAGGGGAGAGGGCAGGCGGGACCACCAGGGCAGCAGCGGCCCACCTTTGCCTACAGCACAGGTGAATGGCGGCCTCTGGGCCATGCTCAACCCATAGACGGTTCTCTTTGGTCTGCCTGAAGTTTTTAGAAATTGGGAAATTTCACAGAAAAAACATTAAGTCTTCTCTCGGATGACCTAGAGGAGTGGCGACCCTGAGCCCACACGCCAAAGTGGCGGCACAGGGCCAGAGCTGAGGGTGGCTGTCAGCTTCAGGCAGGGCCTTGCTCCGGTTCGTCACAGACCCCACCTCCTCCCACAGCCTCCCTGCTTCTTCTCTCCGCGACAGCGCAGGTCCAGCCCCGGTGGGCGTTTGGGTCGGTGAACCTGGTCTGCACGATGGGCCCTGCAGTACGCTGGGCAGCGGGCAGTGGGAGGAGGTTTGTGCTGTGCATGGGAGGCTGTGGGCAGACTTCCCCCTTGTGGGCAGCAGTGGCCTTTCCTGCCAGGCGGAGCCCCTGCCCTTGACTCGAGCTCTCCAGCACGGGTACCTTGATTAGGAGAATAGCATCCTCTCTGAGCTGAGTTTGTGACCTTTAAACTGCCTATAGGAAAAATGGACTCATGTGTATCACGCTGTAGTGAGAAATTTCACTGATGCTGCCTGCCAGGGTGACCTCCAGTGTCACTGACACCAGGACTGCTGTGAAGACTATGAGCACCTGGGTGCTGGTGAGGCGCCTTGTGGGGCGAAGGGCCTGGGACGCACAGCAGGCTGAGCCATGCCTGGGCTGAGCCCTCCTGACGGCCGCTGGCTTGGACGGCCAGCGGCCTAGAGCAGGGCCGATGACCGGGCTCAGAGGGCCTGGGAGGAGGATACTTAGGGACACGCACGGCAAGGGACAGGGATTTGGCCACCACTTCTCCCAGGTATTGTAAGGTAATCCCAGTGTAAAACCCCAACTTAAAATGAAATCGAGGCCTGAAATATCTGTCTGAATTATTAGGATTAATAATATCTTGAAAGTTTAAATAATTCCAAAAAAAGCCAAAATGATAAAAAATGTTATTTCATTATGTATTCCATACCAATCATTACTCAGCACTTTAAATCACAAAAGTAGAAAGCGTGGCAGCAAACCTCCCCAACCGCACGTCACCAGGAAGGCGGAACGGCGTCCCGGTGACCATCCGACTCACACAGCTCTTCCTACGGTGAGGAGGCTGCGTGGCCGGACAGCTCCGACCCGTCAGCCCCAGTCCAGCGATCAAACGGGACATGCATTGTCCTCAAAAGCCAGTCCTTCTTCTGCTACTTCAGTGGCACAGTTTTAAATGAGTCACTTAAAAAATCACTTTGCATAGTCACCTTGTCTGTAGGCTGCCAGTGTTTCAGACTCCCGGGTAAGTGACCTCTTGCTTTATGGCAGAAAGCTGTGCTAAGTTCACTGTCAGGCTACGTGTCCTGACTCCCAATTTGGAAACCACGCTCACTGAAGCCGTGGTAGGTCCTGGGCAGCAAGACCACTGCGTGTGCTCCTGCAGACGGTGCACTGTGCAGGGGCGCCTGGTGAGGAGGCAAAGTGGACCAAAGCTGAATCTCTATCCTTGCTAAGCCATGCGCCAAGGCCCAGACCTGTGCCCGCGGAAGGGAAGGAGTGCCTCTTCCTAATCTGCCCAAAGGTGGTGTCTGCTGACCCAGCCCCGTCCTGCAGAGCCGCTGTCACCCGGAGGGGAACTTTATTCAATTACACGAAGAACACCGTATGTACCGGTAGCAGTTCTGCTGCTCCCCACGGAGCAGAGGCACAGGAAGGCCTGTTCACCGGAGACCCCCGGGCTGGCCTTTCTAGGCAGAGATCATATACAGCCTAGGAGCCATTTAATCTCCAACTTTCTGATTTGCAACTCATAATATTATAGATGATGTTTGAGACTCTAGGTCAGCTCACAAAAGTCTGTCAGCATACAGCGTGACTGAGTTGGGAACTCTGTGAATTGTCGTCACTCGGAACACAGCCTGGCACAGGGGAGTGATCAGGAGACTTTTGGCGACTGAATGGTGACCTGACCCATGGCTCGAATGGTAATGACACAACATTACCCAGTGAACTCACTAATAGATTCTGAGTCACTTTGTAATAGTGTTGTTTCTTGGGGGGAAATTATTCCACTGGTGATGACAGAGGAGCTCAGACTCCCCAGGAAGATTTCTCCTCTCCATCCCCACCCCACCCCATCCAGCCTCACCGGTGTGCGGTCCGAGGCCAGGGCAGAGGCTGCAGTCACTCAGCCTGCAGGCTGAGAATGGAGCGACTGTAGGAATGTGCTGTTCTGAGCACACCCTCCCCTCAGATACAGCCTCTGTGGCCATTGTCAAGTGCATTGCAAAGAAAGAAGGGAAGCTGGTGTCTCAGTCAACAGCTCTTGTTCCCGGAGGTCCCGGGAGGAGCCCGCCCTTGACTCCAATGGGATGTCGGTTCCTACGTGCGGGCCTTTCCGCCTGGAGAACATCAACCCCGTCCGTCTGTCACCTTCAGTCAGAGAAAAGCCGCAGCCGGACCTGAGTTTTCAGTCTAGAAGGGACCGTCTGTGGTCTCTCCCCCCTTTTACAGATGAACACACCGAGGACCAGGAGGGTAAAGTGGTAAGGAGGGGCGTCACCTGGGGAGATGCTTCTCACTTTTTATAAGTTTTCAACCATCAGCCAACCATCTTCCATTTTGTTTTTCTCCTTCTTTACTTAGTATTTGCTCATTGTTCCCTAGCTCCTGATTTGTATTTTCTTCCATTGCATATGCTTGTCCCTGAGGCTGGAGGAACCGAGAACCAGAGATAAAGGGGAGGGATCCCTCGGAGATGGCTGGTGACTCTATTTCTCTGCCCTTCAGCTCAAAGGAACCCCAAAGAGCCAGAGCCGGAGCCGGAGCCATCCCTGGAGCTGGAGGAAGACGTGGAAGAGGCCCCGGCTAGCAGTGAGCGCCTCCCCAAAGGGGACCTGCGGGATAAAGGAAAAAGGACATGAGAGGGTAGTAGGGGAGGGGTACACATACCGATGGTGACAGGCCCAGGCCTAAGCCAGACAGACCCCAAGCCCAGCACCTGCAGGTAGTCGCTGGACTCTCGGGTCTGGGCAGGAAGCAGCCCGAGGACCTCAGTAGTCGGGGGTGGGGCAGGGGCGGTCAGCAGGAAAGAGAGCCCGAGGCCTGCGCAGAGGCTGGAGAGGGAAGTGGAAGAGATTTTATTTTTAGAGTGGGGAGATTATAAAAACAACAGGCCAGAAAGTGGAGCTGGGCATCGGAAAGGACTTCCTGACTGAAGGGTGTGCACCAGCGAAGCTTGTTTGTTTTCCTTCCCTGGAGAGCTTTGACGGGAGAGTCAGGAGAGCAGGGCTGAGCGGGGAGCTAGCGGAGCGGAGCGACCCCTAGAGGTCCGCCTCCCCCCACACGCACGTTGCCCTGTTCTCTCAGACCGGTACTCGGCGCCCCACTCCTGCCACGGCCGCTGCCACGAAACCTTCGACAGGCACCACCCGTGCCACTGCAATGCCCGCTGCCCCGAGTTTGGGAACTGCTGCAAGGATTTTGAGAGCCAGTGTGGCCACGGTCAGTCTCCTGCTCCCTTTAGCAGAGCCCCCGGGGACAGAGGGACTCTCCAGAGCAGTAGTTCTCTAAGTGGGGTCCCTGGGCTGGTGGCATCAGCGCTGGGAATTTATCAGACATGCTTTACCCTGGACCTACTGAATCGGAAACTCTGGGGGTGGGTTAACCCTAACCGTAACCCTAACCGCCCCCATTCATTCCCCCCCATCCACCTGCCCCTCTGTTTTAACAAGCCGTCCAGGTAATTCTGAGGCATGTCAGACTTTGAGAACCGTCCTAGAAGAAAGGGGTGGCGTGAACATTCTCTGGACTCCCTGTGGGCAAGGCCATGTGCTGATTTTAAGGATAGTTAAGGCCCAAGGCCCCTGTCCTCTGGCTAGTGGGGGGCCTGATTGCAGCCCCTCTCCCTTGCCGCCAACTTCTGGAAGGTGCTCAGAAGGTGAGGCGCAAAGACGTGGCCTCCTTCGGGCTCTGAGACAGGCCTCCCCCAACCCCTCCCAGAGAGCTTCTCCCACCGCAGCGATGCCATAACTGAGAAGGAGCTGCAGGCCATCTCGGAGACCATCTACAGGGTGGACACCAACAAGGCCCGCAAGGAAGACATCATCCTCAACAGCCAGAAGAGCATCTCGCCCTCGGAAACCAGAGACCAGGTGGACCACTGCCCGGAGCCGTGAGTTCCCGTTACTTCTCTCCCTCAAAGTTTCTTCCTCAGTCTGCCTCGGCTCTTTTCTCCTCCGGGTAGGTGGGACCCAAGGGACAGGGAAAAAAATACATCTCCAGAGGCAAACCAAGGCCTGTGGGGAGGGGTTTCTGGGACCGGCCGGGCCGAAGGTGGCCTCATGCCTGGACTTCGGAGTACCTGAAGTGCCCGCTGTGCCCCCACCCCACCGTGGCAGGCCTGCCCCGGCCGCCTGGCCGGTCCCGGAGGGGTTTCCACTGCACCTTCAGGCCCCTGCGCCTCTCTCCACCCCTCCAGGCTCTTTACACTAGTCAACGAGAAACTGTTCTCCAAGCCGACCTACGCGGCCTTCATCAGCCTCCTCAACAACTACCAGCGGGCCACGGGCCGCGGGGAGCACTTCAGCGCCCAGCAGCTGGCCGAGCAGAACGATTTCCTCAGGGAGGTCCTGAAGACGGCCGTCATGAAGGAGCTGTACAGCTTCCTCCAGGGCCAGAGTGAGTGGGCCCTGCAGGCCCCGCGGGGCAGAGCCGAGGACTCGGGTCTGTCTGGCAGCAGAGCCAGGAACCTCCGGGCTCCACAGTGGGCAGGTTAAGGACGTGCGTGGGGACTCCCTGGAGGTCAGGGTGCATTTGAGAGGGGCAGGGAGAGAGGGCCAGAGAGGGGCCCAGAGAGATCGTGGACGCAGCAGGAGCTGAAGAAGCCTCTGTCTGGCCTGGAGGTCGCCCCATCTTTTGATTTACTCTCAGTTGCCTTGTTGGTACTCCCGCTCGCGGCTTCAGCCTCAGGGTTCTCTGCAAGGCCGTGAGCTGCCCCGCTCCACGCAGGGCACGCGTCAACCACCGCAGCTGATCCGGTGGCAGGGCTGCTTTCCAGGCTCAGAGACCCTTCCGTTCCGCTCCTTCTCCCCGCTCTAAGTCCAGGAAGGAGGTCGGCCCCCCTCCACTTTTTTGTTGGGGAAAGAGCAATAGAAGATCAACAAAAGTTCACAGGGGAATGTTCTACCGGGCAGAGTTCTGGTCGGAGTGGCTCCAGACGGAGGCATTTGAATCAGACCAACAAAGGTTGGGGCTGTGGGGCTTCTTGGCATGGGCCGTGTTTGCCGGTGTCCTCCAGGTTCCGCTCCTGAACTCCAGGCAGCCGGGCTTTGCCTCGGGGCAGCTCTGTCCAGGTCTTCCCTCCTTGGCCGTGGGATGGCCTGGCTCATGCTCACAGCTGGCTGCTGCATTCCATTCAAGGGCCTCCTAGTGAAGAGTTAGAGACATGATCCCTGTTTCCATCTAGTCAGTGACAAACACTCCCTGTGCAGAGGACACAGTCCTTCACCGCCCCCTGGTGTTCTCTTTGTAGTGAACATGTGAGAGAGTCTTGACGGTCAACCCTGAGCCCTTCTGCTTTTTAAAGGAGGGAAGTGGAGGCCCAGGCAGGCCAGGTGACTCGCATGAGGTCACACGGGAAGTCGTAAGCAGAGGCTGGCCTGTCCCATTACTCACCTTGCCTTCACCCAGCTCCCTGTTCAAATCCCACTTGTCCTTCAAGTCCTAGCTCCCACCCCACTGCATTTACGAAGCTGCACTTGCCAAGCACTTGCCAGATGGTTCTCATCATCTCTTCAGAGGTAAAAGGTTTGGGGTGTGGCCCCAAATCACCTTGGGCCAGAGAGACTGGATTAGAGTTCCGGCTCTGCCGTTCACCGGTGACTGGACCTTATTCTACCTGTTTGAGCCTTATTCACCGAAATGGGGTTCTGGGAGGATTTAGGCTTGTAAAGCACCCAGTGGGAAAAACCTGGTGCCAAGCAAGTGGCAGCCATTCAGATTGTGAAACATTCTCTGTTATTTTGTATATATTTAGTCTTGTTTTCCAATTGTGTTTTGACTCCTTGAAAGAAAGAAATCCATCTGGCATCACTTTTGTATCCTCCACACACAATTCTGGGCCGCGAACCAGTCAGTATTTGATGGCTCCTTAAATTAGACCCCCGGCGCTGGCCTTTGCCTTGGGTCCCGGCTGCCACGGTGACAGCCCCGCCTGCCACGGTGACAGCCCCGCCTGCCTATCCAATGGCATCTCTTCTTTGGAACTTAGTGCAGGGAGAACTCATGGTTCCTGCCTCTCTTCAGTTTTCCCCGTCTCATAGATGACACCACTCAGGGGTGTCCGACCTTTGGCGTCTTGGGCCACACATTAAATACACAAACACTAACAAAAACTGATGAGCAAAAAAAAAAAAAGCTTCTAAGTGAATTTATGATTTCGTGTTGGCCGCATGCAGCCCGTGGGCCGCGGGTTGGACACCTTCATGCAGTCGCTCGGGTCAGAGGCCCAGGAGTGGTATCTGATTCTCCTCTCCACCTCGCCGCACCCCATCCCTGTTTCCTCCATCAGCAGTAACATCCATCACTTCCACTTTCAGAATCTATCTCTGATCTGCCCACTTTTCACGCTCCCTCCGCGGCTGCCGGCGCAGTCTAAGCCACCGCCGCTGGGTACCCAGGCAAAGCGTTGGCCTCACTTAGGTCCCTCTGCTGCTTATACACCTTGTTGACCTTTTTACACACACAACCAAGGTGGTTTCTTTTTAAAAACAAAGCCCGCAACACAGAATTCTCCTCTTAGTGGCTCTCCCATCACCCAGAAGCTTTGGAGTCATTAAGAGGTCAGTCTCTGGAGCTAGACTGTGGGAGCTCAAGTGCTGTCTCTACCTCTTACTAACTGTGCAATCTTGCATGAATTGTATATCCTTTGTTTGCCTCAGTTTCCTCATCTCTAAACTGAGAATAATTAGCACCAACCTGATGGGAAGATTCAATGTGAGGATTGAAAGCACTTCAAACAGTGCCAGGCACCAAGAACATACTCAGTAAATCTAAAATATTTTTTGTTTCTTTATTTCTGTTTGACTGAGATCCAACCCTCCTGCTGTGGCTCCCTTGATCTGGCCCCTGCCTACCTTTCCCCTCCTGCTCATGCTGCTGCAGCCGCATTGACTTTCTTTCAGCTCTTTGAACATCAAGCTCAAGTCCTTCTGGAGCCTTTACACTTGCTGTTCCCTCGACACGGAGGAATCTTTGCCCCAGACCTTTGCAAGGCTGGCTCCTTATCTTTCTGGTCTCCGATTAGTGCTACCTTCTCAAAGAAGCCTTTCGGGTCTTCCTTTCTCGAAGAGCCCCTGCCTGCATCCTCACCTTCAGTCGTCATGGGATAATCTTCTTTATTTTCCTCATAGCACTTATCTGAAACTGTGATGGTTACTTATGGTTTATTTTTTTATTATTTGTCTCCTCTACTGGAATGTAAACTATAAAGACAGGGATCTAGTCCTCGTGATTCCCTGCTGAATCCTTCACCTTTAGGTCTGGGTCTGGCATAACACAGGTGCCCTGTACATCACTGTTGAACGAACAACTGAATACATGTGGTGGTTGAACCCGTGTGTCTCAACGTGATGGAGCAGGTGGCCCTTCCTTCCTTCCCTGGATTTGGTCCTGCCTCCCCTTCTCCTACGTCCTCTCTGTTCCTCCCCACAGACCGCTACAGCTCAGAACAAGAGTTTGCCGATGACCTGAAGAACATGTGGTTTGGGCTCTATTCAAGAGGCAATGAAGAAGGGGACTCAAGTGGCTTTGAACACGTCTTCTCAGGTGGGGTCACTCTTCTTGGAAAGGAGATGGAGAGACAGCTGCCCTCAGGAGCGGGGCAGCACTGGGCCCTGAGGAACCAGCAGCCGTGGCCGCTAGCAGGGAGGGGCATGTCTACTGGCAGGCGGGGGGGGGGGCATCTGAGGAGCCACCACTTAGGGAAAGTTCCTGGGCGTATCTAAGGGAGAAGGAGGACCAGATGCTGGGGCTCCCAAGGGGCACATGTAAGGAGACGTTTTGGGGGCTATGGCTGTCTATCTCTGAGCCGTCCTCTGCCTCCAGGACTTGTCAGCTGCTTCCCAAGGGGGCCTCGGTCTTTCTCCCCACCACACTAACCCATAAAGCTTGTAGCAAGTTTGGTCACCAGAGTCAGCCAGGAGGAGGAATTCTCCCAAGGGCTTGAGCCTTCCTGAAGTGAAAGTTAGGGACGTTGGGGATTCTGAGAAGTCTGGGCAAGGGACTGACCTGATGAGCAAGCTAAAAGTCAGAGACTTGAAAAGGGAGACGGCCTTGGCATGGGAGAGGAGAAAGGGGTCAGAAGGGAGACCCAGATCACCGACCTTGAACTCTTGATTACAGGTGAAGTCAAAAAGGGCAAGGTCACTGGCTTCCATAATTGGATCCGCTTCTACTTACAAGAGAAGGAGGGCCTGGTCGACTATTACAGTTACATCTATGACGGGCCTGTGAGTACTGAATGCAGACCCCCTGGGCTGGGAAGCCTTGCTATACCCAGACTTCCGGTCCTCATTCTGCGTTCCGCACAGTCAGACTTGTCTCTCACCCTGACCCCCTAATGGGGACTGTGAATAAATACGACTTCCCCCTGTGCTGAACAGCAGGTTGAACCAGCCAGGACACTGGGATTCCCTTCCAAACAGTGAAGGCTCCACAACTTCGGGAGCAGGAGGTGGACACCATTTCTGGAGAGGGGTAGGGGCAGGAGAAGGTTCTCAGAGGGGAAAGCCAGACGTGCCATTACTTCCTGCCTGAATATTCTTAGTATGTGGTGTCAGCTGGAAATTTAAGTTTGGCTAGTCTGAGTGAAACTCCTCATAGTTTATAAAAATGAAACCTTTGCTGTCTGATGCCAGAAAATAATTTGGGAGCAGTAAGTGTCCCTTTTCGTCCATATGTGAGGGCACAGGGAAGTTATGTCCCTGTTCCCCAGGCGTCGGTCACCTGGCTGCTGACTCTGGCTGCCCTGCAAGATACACATGCACTGGCAGCTCCGGACAGAGGGTCGGGGGGCTTACACGTCGTAGCAGGACAGACTGTTTGCTCAGTTGACTTAAAGAATCCAGCCTCCCTGGAAAGGTTACACAGACACTAATGGGCCGTCAACAAATCCTGGCTGAATGCCGCCATTTGCCACCCTTCGGCCAGCCTCCAACTCTGTGGCATTCACCATACCCCTCTCTGTCCACAGTGGGAGTCTTACCCTGACGTGTTAGCCATGCAGTTCAACTGGGATGGCTACTACAAGGAAGTGGGCTCAGCTTTCATCGGCAGCAGCCCTGAGTTTGAGTTTGCACTCTACTCCCTGTGCTTCATCGCCAGGCCAGGCAAAACGTGAGTACTGGGCCAGCCAGCCCCGGGGAGCAGGAAGTCCTTAGCCAGGACTGTCAAGAGCCATGGATTCTGCCATTCAGCGGCTCAGAGGGTAGGGACGAATCACAGTTCTGGGCCTCAGCTTCCTCCCTTGGGAAACGAAGCTGTTAGATTGGTGGCTGCCCAACTTCATCTGACCAGCAGAACCCTTGCCCCTCTTTTCCCCAAGTGAAATCTTATGCAGGACCTTAACGTATAAAACTGTGAGAAATGGCCCTGCCTGGCGCGGCTCAGTTGGCTGGGCATCATTAGTCCCCAGTTCAATTTCAGTCAGGGCACGTGCCTGAGTTGTTGACCTAGTTCCCACTCGGGGGCATGTGAGAAGCAACTGATCGACGTTTCTTCCCCTTGCTTCCTCCCTACCTTCCCCTTTCTCTAAAATAAATAAATAAATGACTAAAATCTTCAAAAAAAAAAAAAGTGAGAAATGGAGTTGGTGCTCCAAGCCTCCCTAGTTGCCCTCCCCACACCCCACCCGAGGTTGCCTGGGGAACCTTAGCAGCCCAGAGGGTTCAGTTGGAACCATTGGGCCTCATATGTTCTAACATTTGAGGACTCTGGGTTCTGCCACTTTTAAACCATAAGCAGACGTTTAATTTCTGGGGGTTCAGTTCTAGAATCTGGGATTTTAGAATACTGCTCTGGGAAAGATGAGAAGCAATGTTCTTTAAGAAGACAGACAATAAGGCATAGATTTTGACAGGGTTCCATGCATGCGGGGAGCTGGAGGCAGTGGTTGAAGTAAGCTGCGGTAGCTCTCATAGGGGCCTTTTAAGACAGAGTGGAGCCCTTCTGCATGAGATGGGACAGAGGTGGAGTGAAGCAGGGGTCCCATGATTTGACAACCTTTTCCACAGATGCCGGTTAAGCCTGGGTGGACATCCCTTGGCCATCAAGACCTATACCTGGGACAAGTCCACCTACGGAAATGGCAAGAAGTACATCGCCACAGCCTATGTGGTGTCTTCTACCCGATAGAGCTTGGAGCCAGAAAGGGGCCTGAGGGCAGTGAGAGCTCTTGCAGGCCCGAGGCGCTGTCTGCTCTGGGCTGGAGAGTGGATGGAGGAGACCAGGAGGGATTCCCAAATCCAGACATATCCAATGGGAAAGGGAAAAAAGACACAAATTAGAAAAATGCAGGGAAACAGTCAAATCTTTGTCCTCCACCATTTTGGAGTAGCACTCAGACATAGAAGACATAGCCCTCCATAGCTCTTTGCCTTGACTGGAGCTGGAACTGTGAACAAGTCCTTGACCTCTCCAGGCTAACCCCTTTCCTCTTTTTGGGGTTGGTGAGAGGAACCTGATGAATTATTACTGTGAAGGTGTTATCTATTGTTCTTAGGAAGAACAGCTGACAGAAATTCAAGATTACTATAATGGCTGTTATTGTACACAGCCCTGCAACCTGCATTTCAGCCCTATGTTGGAGCCTCAGAGATATCAGGCCATGGAAATCAAGCATGGGTATCTGGTCTTTTCCAGGGCTACACCCTCTCACAGCAGGGGCTGGGAGAACGCAAACACTGGACGGAGAGGGTCATGGTGGACACAGTGAGTGGGGAAGTGGACTTCTCCAGGCCTGAAGGCTTTTATAGGCTCAGTAACTGCATCAAGAATATTCCTGCTTGTTGACATTTGTGCAATTATGGAGCTGCATTTTGATCCCGAATAATTTGTGAGAGTGCCCCCATAGGATGATTTTGCATCAGAAGAAAGGAGCCTATAGCTTGGTGTCATTAACAATTATTTTAACCAGCAGCTATAATTTGCATAAACTCCAGAAGGGAAGACCAGGGCAACTGCATTTCAAACTCAGTTATGCATTTGTCTCTTAACCCCACTGGGAACCAAACACTGTTTCACAGAGCCAGGCTTGAACTATAGTTAAGAGCAGTGATTTTCAAGAAGAATTTCTAAAACATGTAATACCTAACTCTAGTCAGGAGTTAGGTATTACACTGACTTCTTTTCCCTTAGATTAAAAAAAAAAAAGCAGCCAACATAACAATAGTTGTCCAGTGTAAATGCCCTGTCTTAAGCCATAAATAGATAGGTCATATGATAGAGTTGCATCTTATTGGTCATGTCACATAATAAGTTTGTATCGGATTGGTTAATGGTACCAGAAATCCTTATATACAAATATAGGGATCTGATTTTTTAAAAAGTCATTTTGGAGCAAAAAGGATAGGTCATGACAATAATTGTTTTTGGTAAATCATTAAAAATTATACTTATTTTTGTCAGATCAGCAAAAATATACATTTTTTGGTGTGCCACAGAATTTTAGTAATTAGTTTATATGTGCTATGAAATGAAAAAGGTTGAAAATTACTGGTTTAGAAGGTTCAAATCTCCAATTAAAGTCATTGAAGAATATTTGAAATGTGTCTTTTTGCTGGTCTTCATACTGCCTATCACTCCCAGAACCAGTAATTAGAGACAAGGACTGAATCTTTATGGGCACTTTATGGAGACACAGGTAATCTAAGAAGACAGAGGGTTATATATCCTAAAAATCGTCTTAACATCTCATCTCAAGCCAACCTTTTTATAAGGAGAAGAAAGGGTAGGGCAAGGGTTTGGGAAAAGGTTAATCTGATAAGAGTTGCAGTCCTGTGGTGATTTTCCCAGTTTTTCTTTATCTACTGATCAGCAATTCTTTATTTGCTTCCTCCTGGAACACAGATTCAGATACTTTTACTTGCAGACCCCCTGGGGCACAAAGATTAAATTGCTGGTTGACCTCCTGGAGTCCCAAAGGTCATATATTTCAGTTCCTGGAACAACAGCTTTCCACATTCATTACTCACATAAGCCTATCAACTATAACTAAAGCAAAAGGCTTTAACTCCTGAGTTCTCCTATCGTCTTCTTTGTAATTGGCTTTCCTCCAGAGTCTGCCTCCCTGCCTTTTCCCAGGAGCAGGGCTGGGAATGATGCTTCTGGTTTTAGTGTTTCATCAGGATGGCTTGGATCATGTGGTATCTCAGTCAAGTCCCTGAAGACTCACCAGTTCTCTCTAACTAAGATGGGGAGAGAATTCTTCCTAGTGTATTTGTAATGTGAAGAATGGAAGGAGTGTATTTACAGCTTCTGGTTCCCCACATAGGGGAAGTTGACACTCCATTCTAAAAACAAGTAGACAACTGGATAGACTGAAAAACCAACAACCTTTCTTGGATCTGTAAGAGAAGGGGGGGCACAGGCAAAACACTGCCCTCAAGATTGGAAAGACAAGAGAATATAAGGCTTACTGGGGAAGAGATCTGGAGCACAAACCAGTGCTGGGGTTTCTGATACAGGCAGGAGAAAGAAACCATGTTGAAATTCTCTAGACTACTCTGTCCTTCTTAATAAAGCCTGCTGTTGGGAAAATAATTAGCCAGAACCTAACCTGAGGAGGTATTATCAGCAGGAGGGGCAGGAAACATTTGTTAAAGCTCTTAGCATGTCTCAAGCTGTGCTAAATAGGCCTTTCACACACATGTTCTCACTCTAGTAGCTATTTTTTATCTTCACCATTCTAATTATATCTAAACAACCAAGCTTTATATTAAGCCTCACTTTACAGATTACATTCTCAGTTAAGTAGCAGAATCAGGACTACAAAATTCAAGCCTTTTCCTCAGGTTATAGTGAGTCTGGATTTCTAGGAGTATTGATTGATTGATTGATTCATTCATTCATTCTTCTTTCAAAGCATGTGAATGCTTTCACTAAGGCCTGGGCTAGAGGTTACTGGTTGCCCCTCAATATCTGCTGTCCTCTTCTTATTTATTGAATTCTTAGTTTTCAGATGAGCACATGACTGCCAAGAGTTAAAAACTCTCGAACTCCTTTGGAGAGAAGGGGGCTCCCAATATAGCCGTAGTTTTTTTTGTATGACAATGGGGACCTCAGAATTGGGTGATGATGGACATCAAGATTGGACTAACTCCTCTCACTTTGATTCTGTACTCACTAAGCAACTGTCTGACTGTTGTAAATTGAGAGAGAATTCACCCAAGGGTCTATGAAATTTTACTAGAGCAGCCAGCTGGCTCTTTGCTCTTCCATCTCGATAGACTCTGCCAGAATTAATAAAAAACATTTGCTTTTCTTAAGAAAATCTATAAACCAATATCTACTTAAAATATTTTATTAGATTAATTTTAAAACACAAAAACCTCTTCAAGTCAGTTATCTATCCCCTTAAGACAAAAATCTAAAGAATCATTTCATTAATAAATGCTTGAATAACACTTGATGATTTGACTACTATGACTTTAAAATACAAAGATATCAAATAATTATACAGTGAGAAAGATGTGCTAATAATATGACCTTGTAAGGGGGAGCTCCAGGGTGGCTTTCCATTGAGCATCACCTGGATTAGTGGTTCAACTGCACAGCCATATCCCGTGCTTTAAAAAATCATGAGCCTGGTTACACTAATTAAATTAGAATCTCTGGGTATGGGATCTAGAAATCAATTTTTTTCCATGCTCCCTAGGTAATTCCAAAGTTCAGTCAAGCTTGAGAGCTACTGATCTGGATTTTTGGGCTAATGTTTTAGATCACAGAAGTGTTTCAAATGGAAAGTTTTTGCTCGTTTCTATTTGTTTCCGTGGAATTAATTATTTTTGTTTTACAATTTTGTTAGAGTTGTCATGAAAATGAAAAAAACCTCACTCATGTTGGAAGCAGAAACAAGAAGTGTTACAAGCTTCGTATTTTTTCTGCTTTGCAAGCCAGGCCATATCTAAAGGCTGACCTTAATACTCACACGCGTTCTAGAAAGATTCAAAGACAGACACAGAAAAAGAAGGAGTTTACTCGCAAAGGTGTGGGGGGCGGGAGTCAGACTGAAGAACTAATTTACCAAATATAAGCACTTAAAGGGAAAAATCCCTGTAACACTGCCAGAGTTACAAGTTTACATAGTCTATTCACGGCAGGGAAACAGTAACTTTCTCACAAATTTATCATACTTGGAAAGATCGCGACATATCGTTAGACACCAGTAAGGCAAACAAATATCAGGGATTAAATCGTTTGAGGTAAGTCAAGGAAATGCTTAAAGTGTTACTATTTGGGGAACAAGTCAGGACGACCCTGCAGGTTTTGGGTTATTAGCTCCTAAGAAGTTTGGTCAGACTGCGCTTTAAGACACCTGCCAATTCCCCAACCTAGTTCTAGCGAGAGAAGAGGCGCCGTACCCGACCTTCTGCGCACGCTCCAGGGGGCGGGGTGAGGCACGCGGGGACTTCTGGGAAAGCGCAGGAAGGCGGGGTCCTGCCCGAGTCGCAGAGGGCTGGCCGGGCTGCAGGTGTGGGCCGTAACGGCCAGGTGTGGTAAGCCGGCTTTTCCGTTATGGACGAGGAAGCTTTTGGGGTCGCCTGTCTGGCGAAGGGGGCGCGGCCGTGGGTCCTGGGTGGAGCGGTGCGGCCGACTGGAGCGCGGCGTGGTTGCCGCGGTGGTGTCCTGGGTAGCGGCGTCCCGGGAGCGCGTCCCGGTCAGGTTTCACCCCGCGCGCCCGGGCCTGGATGTTCTTCCTTGCTGGGGGTCGAGCACCTCGGCTGCTCCGGCGTCGGGCTGTTTTCGGTGGTCAGGACCTCAGGTTCAACCGGTAGGGGACACTGCGGTGGGGCCCGCCCCCTTTGGGCGGGTATTGGGGGTGAGAGTGAGGATACCCTTTGCCTGCCTGGATATTGGGGGTGAGAGTGAGGACACGCGAAAGCGCGGGACGTTTCCGGTGGCTGGACTGGACCTCAGGCAGCCCCGCCGCAGGTTCCGTGAGAGTCATTGGGCCTGCGGGAGTAGCAGATGTGATGGGTGGAATGGGAAAGGTTTTGACCCTCTACATACTCTCACTGGCTTGTTGCACTTTGATTCATATTTTTCAGTCCGCAGCAAAGCAGTGCACTAGTTTTTAAAAGAGTTGTTCCTGGGTGATCAAACATGGACAATGCCCAAAAGGAGCTTACTTTTACTTGAGTTTTTGAGTCTAGGCTGGGGGGTCAGAAGACCTGTCGCGTTGCAATCATCTCTTCCTCCCCCTAAATGAATCCCTTTTCTAATCACTTCTCTCCCATCCTCTAAGCTTGGAATCCCCTCTTACCCTTTGGTGACCTTGCCCCATCACTTACCCTTTTCCCTATATCTTCTTTTACCGTGTTTCGCCGCAGACCACTGCAACAGTCATGCACACTGAGCCAGGAAGACGAAGATACTTCGGGGAATAGCTCTGAGAAATGCGCGGATAGGCGATTTGTAGTGGTACGGAAGTCAGAGCGCACTTGCCCAAACTGGGTACCGCCTAGGACACGCCTTGGCTGTGTGTATAGCTTATTGGCCCTGGGCTGCGGGCCTGTTCGGCGCAGTGCTGTACAGAAGAGCTTTGGTTATATGAAGCACGAGAGAAAAGGGTGGGGTGAAGAGTCTTGGTAAACATGAGATGATGTGTGAGGCTGCTGGTGTAACACGGCGTTCTGTTTACAGCAGCCTTTTAAAAAAAATAAGTAGGAAGAATAAGTATAGTGTAGTAAATACGTAAACTAGTAGTATAGTCTTATTATTATTATTATGAAGTACTATGTACTGTATAATTGTATGTGCTCTACTTTTATGTGATGGTCAGTGTGGTCGGCTTGTTTACACCAGCATCGCCACACTCTTGAGTGATGCATGTGTTACAATGGCTACGATTTCACTAATGATAGAAAGTTTTCAGCTCCTTTATTATCTTATGGGACCCCAGTTGGATGTGTGGTCTGTTGTCCACCCAAACATGCTTATGTGGTGCGTGAGCAATCTTACATTATCAAACACAAAATGACCTTAATCTTCATATAGTAATCTCATTTACTTAGCTCATTTTGTTTCCATTCTTTAAAAAAAAAACCATTAAAATTCAGTAATCTCTGTATGACTAAATGTAAAGACCATATTTTTATCTCTAAAATGTTCTTTCCCCCATACACCCTCTGTGGCATTCGGTACTGCTAACCTATTCCACCTTCTTGAACTCTTGAAGATGCTCTTCCGTAATTCCGAGTTTTCCTCCCAGCTCCCTGGATGCCACTGCCTTGTTTTTCCTATATCCACATCTCTTTCTCAGTTTGCTTTCTAAATATTAGTGTTCTCCAGAACCTCCTGTAGTCGTACTGCACCCTAGTAATCATAGTATTTTAACATGTCTACATCCCATGGTTGTAGCTTCCACCTTTATGCTGGTGACACCCAAATTTATGACTCTAGCCCTCTGTAACTACCTACTAAGATGTGTCCTCCTGATGTCCCATAAACACTCAAATAAAACATCCCAAACTAAAATATCTGTCTTTTCATTTGTCCTCCAATCCCGAAACCCCTTATCCTTTTACAGTTGTGATTCCTGACTCAAAATGTCACCACTGACTTAACCAGGCTCCCAAACAAGAAAATCTGAGACACTAAGTCTGTGCACCACAATTCCTCAATCTAGTCAGTCATGTCCCTTTTATTTCACCACCTCAGTACTTTCACACAGCTTTCTGGCATTTCAAGATCTGTTTTATTTCCACTTTGTTAGCCTTCTCTTCCATGGAAGAGTCCCTCCTAGTCCCTTGCTTTGCCTGCCCTCTTCTCCATGTAAGTCACTTGGCTGGCCCCTTTTGAAGTTACAGCTCCTCTGGGGATTCTTTTCTTGACCTACCACTCTACCCTCTGATTTATGCCTGTCCTTTGTGGTCAGTCTCATAAGCATTGGTATGTATCTCTAAGCACAATGGTTCTCCCAGGGTTTATTATGCCTCCCAGGGGACATTGGACAATGTCTGGAGACATTTTTCGTTGTCAGAGTCTGAAGGGGAGGTGCTAATACTGGCACCTAGTCAGTAGAGGCCAGGGATGTTGCCAACCATCCAACAATACACAGGACAGTCCTCCAGTAAAGAATGATTCAGCCCACAATGCCAGTAGTCCCAAGGCTGAGAAACCCTGGCTAGCATAGTATTATGCTACTCAGTATTTGATTGTTTCATTTTCTTCTCAACTAGATAGGGACTTTGTCTTACTTGTTTTTGCATTCCTAAATCTTGATACAGGACCTATGATGTAACAGAAATTCAATAAATGTTGAAAGAAAAAGGAGTTAATTAGGATAAATTTATGAACTCCAAGGATAAGCAGCCAATCTGCCACCATGGACTACTTGGCCAGTTCCATTAATTCTCCCCCATTGCCTTTCATTCATATTGCATTGTGGAGAGGCCTAAACTTTTTTTTGTAATTTTTATTTGTTTATTTAGCAAACATTGACCCATTTTTAAACCTTTTTTAAAAAGGTTTTTATTTATTTATTTATCTTTAGAGGGGAAGGGAAGGATTGTGGGAGAGAAATATAAGTGTATGGTTGCCTCTTGTGTGTCCCCTGCTGGGAACTGGCAGGCGTGTGCCCCAATTGATTGGGAATTGAACTGCGACATTGACCCATTTTAAAAAATAGTATACTGATATTTTCTTTCTTCAGCATCTCTTCTATCTGTATATCTTGGTCATTTATGAGAGGTAAAAAAGAATTGATTAGCTAGGTTTCAAAAAATAAACCAAGTAAATAATTCAATTTCTTATTAGAGGTTGGTTGATTAAAATTCTGCAGGCCATAATGACGTCAACTAATAAAGCAATTGAATTACAACTACAAGTGAAACAAAATGCAGAAGAATTGCAAGACTTTATGAGGGATTTAGAAAACTGGGAAGAAGATATTAAACAAAAGGATATGGAACTAAGAAGACAGAATGGTGTCCCTGAAGAGGTAAATTTCATTTTTTAATGGCCAAAGATTTTTTTTAAAGATTTTATGTACTAATTTTTAGAGAGAGGGGAAGGAGGGAGAAAGAGAAGGAGAGAAACCTTGACTGGTTGCTTTTAGTACCCCCTGTACCCCGCAACTGGGGACCTGACCATCAATCCAGTCACATGCCCGGACTAGAAATCAAATCCGTGACCTTTCTGTTGTAGGCTGATTCTCAATCCACTGAGCCACACCAGCCAGGGTGTAAATTTCCCAATTAAGTTCTTATTTCAGAATCCAGCAAAAGTACTTATTTTAAAATAAAAGCACCTTTTAAAATGGTTTGTGAAAATACTGAAATTGAAGTATTTGCTTTCTGCTAACATTTTGGAAAATTCTCCTTTTGAAAGTATTTGCAGTAATTGTATTAACTATAGTAAGACAAGTGAGTAGTTACTGAAAGGAAGGCTATATGATAATTGTTAAGTGAATAGCATCATAAAATATGTTGATGTGTACATATATCTCATGTATCATATATAAATGTATACTCAATGACATTAATACACGTTATTGCCATAATAATGTAGATAGTACCTAGGTTCAATCAAACATTTTTCTAAAGACTGTGTTTTTCATGCTATATGTAATGCTGTGGAGGCAGTTTAGTTTGCCATTGTACTATTGCTAATTCATTGTACTAAGGCTGAAGATCAGTTAGTTTTTGAAGTTTGAATTTAGGATTGCAAGTTAAGTATATAATTAAAATTTCTGGGTAATAACTTTTCTTGTAACTAAATAGTGCTCAACATTTGTCAAAGGATGAATTAAGCTTTTCAAGCATAAATTGTCATTATAAGTGAAGGTAGTAAATTGGTAGTTTTAAGTACTTGGAAATTAAATTTAAAAATACTTCTTACATGTAATTTAGTGAGAATTTAAAACTTTGCTAGTTATACAAAAAGTAATAGAGTAGTGCTCAAAATGTATTTTTCCCCCCAGAATTTACCTCCTATTCGAAATAAGAATTTTAGAAAAAAGAAGAAAGGTAAAGCTAAAGAGTCATCTAAACAAACCAAAGATGAAAACACAAAAAACAGGATAAAGTCTTATGATTATGAGGCGTGGGCAAAACTTGATGTGGTAAGTTAATCTAGTTATGTGCTTTTTAGTATTTGAGTAAAATTTTCTTGGCATTAATTGAGAGTCATGGATTAAATGAAAAATAATATTAAGTTCTTATAAGTACTTTTTTCCCTTATAAACATTTTATGTGTAATAAAAATTTAATCACATAGCTCTTATTTAACCAGATTAGTTTTTCTTCTGTAGTTATCTTTCAGTGAACAGTGGCTAAAATAGCCAGGATTCTTTTCTTTTTCCCTACTTTTTTTCTTTGCAAAAATAGCACGTGTATTCTTTACTCAGTTTTCCTCAGTCATTACATCTTAACTATAATATAGTATCAAAACCAGGAAACGGACATGGGTGCAATGTATGTGTGGTTGTGGGCCATTTTATCACATGTATAGATTTGCAGAGCTCTCCCTTGGGTTATGCATTTTATTGTTGTACCTACTTCCCTCATCCCCACCATCTCTAATCCCTGAATTCTAAGGTGGTAATACTTAGAAAAGAATAACTCTGCCAGTATTTTTTTTTAATAGACTGAAGGACCTGTTGAATACTAGCTGAAAGAGAATGCCTTTGTGCCTAGTCTTAGGGCTGGGGTTTATGACAGTAAAAGCAGGTCTGCCTTGATCCCAGGAAGGTGGGCTTCACCCTTCTAGACCAGGTTTAGCAAAGTGTAGTGCATGCCTTCCATCTCCTACCGTCATGCACAGTGTAACTGGAGAACCAGTGTTCCACATTGGAGCTCCCTACCCAGGGCTCCAAGCAGCCACTGTGAAGTCAGGGAACCTGTGAAACAGGACTTGAATTTGACCCATCTTAAGGGTTGATTTAGTTAGGTTGATTTGGAGTGTACATTCCCTTTTAGTTTTTTAAAACATGTTTATGTAATATTTGATTCATACAAAAGAGCACGTAGAGATACATATTCTGAATCATAACAATAAAATGAATACAGGGATGGGCAAAAGTAGGTTTACAGTTCATATGGAAAACAATATAATAATAAATAAGCAGTAATATAAGAATAAACTTTCTTTTGTGTACTCACAACTGCAAACCTACTTTTGCCTGACCCTGTAAAGAAACAAACCGGGTGCCGGGCCAGAAATTGAAAGGCAGAAGAGAAACTGGTCAGACCGCTCTTGGTTAAGAGCCAGCTAATGATGGCTTAAAAATTATTGCACATTAATTTTCTGCCCACCTACATGTCTAAAACCAGAAAGAAGTTCTTTTGGTAAATGTACACACTGTAGGAATCATGTAGGCACCTACATTATACTCAACAAAAACAAGTGTTGTCTTAGTTACCAGACTGAGAATAGCCCAACTTAGGAAGAAGTCCAGTGTACAGGGGTGGGCAAAAGTAGATTTATAGTTGTGAATATTCAAAACAGTCTATTGTACTATTACTTATTACTTACTGTACTATTTATTTGTATTACAAGTGTAAACCTACTTTTGCCCACTCTTGTATGTGAACCCATCATTAATTTAAAGAGAATTTTTCCAGTCTTGTTGAAGCTGCCAGTTTGCTCATTTCCTATCCCATGTTCTTTTCTCTTTTCTACTGCCAAATGTAACCACTATTCTCATTTTTATGTTAGTTATTCTTTGTACTTTTCTGTTTAACGATTTTATTGAGATACACACGAAGTTCAGAAAATCTTAAGTGTACAGCTGCCTCAGTGTTTACTTATGTATTCATCTGAGAAACTACTATCCGGATCAAGATACAGAGCATTTCCTGCATCCCACCAGCCTCTCTTTTCAGTTGATTATCTCCAAGGGTAGCCACTGTTGTGATCTCCTAACACTATAGGTTGGTTTTGCCAGTTTTTGGAACTTCATGAAAATGAATAATACAGTGCATACTCTTTTGTGTTTGGCTTCTTTTGCTACCGTCATTTGAGATTAATTTGTATTGTCAGTAGCAGTTGTTTTGTTTTGTTTTTAAAGATTTTATTTATTTATTTTTAGAGAAGGGGGGGGGAGTGAAACATCAGTATGTGGTTGCCTCTTGCACACCTCCTACTGGGGACCTGGCCCGCAACCCAAGCATGTGCCCTGACTAGGAATCAAACAGGCCTGTGCTCAATCCACTGACCACCAGCCAGGGTTTTTTAAATTGCTGATCACAGTTTAACTGTGAATATATCACAATTAGTGTATCCATTCTGTTGGCGTACATATGGGTTTCCAGTTTTGATCTATTATGGTAAACTTGCTGTGAACATTTTTGTACGTGAGTTTTGGTAGCTATAAGCATCTGTGGTAGGCTTTGCGGGTCATAGTTTATATGTACATTTAGCTTTAGAGGATACTGCCTAATGGTTTTCCAAATTAGTTGAATTTTTCTTAATGAAATCAAGCAAGGCTAGTTGACTTGGGAGAGCTGGCACTATTATGTAAGAAGTTTGCCATCTGTAAATACTATAAATTCAGTATTGTCCTGATGTAAGAGAAGTATGATTTGTGGTCTTGAATTTATTGATGTTGGAAATGATACTTTCTGAGCATGTGAGTTATTCTCTGCTTAGTATTATATAATCTGCCTTCATGTTTTTGTAACTTTATCCCTTCTTATAAAGACTTTTTCTTTGTATAAGTCAGTATCGTATAATGCTTTTTCCTGAAAAGCACCATCTCAGATGATTTTTTAGAGAGGTGATTTTAGAGATGGTGATTTTAGAGATGATTTTCTACACAGTCATTTACTCATTCAACAGGTATTGATTGAACTCCAGCTTTGTGTGGCCAGCGTATAATCGCTGTGCTGCATTGCTTGACCTTGTCATTCTGGTGTATCTATACAAGATAGAGGTATCTGCTTACCATTCCATTCTGGTTCAGGTCTTAGCTGCTGCTCTAGTGCACTGCTGTCATTGATTTTCCGCACATGTCAGCGTAGCAGGGTTGAGCAGTCTTGGCTTTAATGTTGGTAAGCTGGTGATATTTCTAGAATTTTCATGCTAAAACACATAGCTGAATTTCATTCCATTTTTTAACATTCATTCAATGCAAGTAAACATAGATTATATTTTGTTTTTAATTTATCAACAAATTTTTCTAAAATAAATTATTTTAAATAGCATGTGATTTGTTAAATGCAAAAAGGATTTCATTTATAATAATGATTAAAATTTTTGTTTAAATGAGCTTCAGCGAACTTTTTAATTCTTACTGGTTTAAAAATCTCTTACTGAAAATTATTTATCATATATGATAAAGATAAGATTTTAAAAATCTGTTGGGGTTCCTGAAATAATTTATCACCTTGAAAGGAATGTGTGAATCAAAAGAGACTGGGAATCGCTGGACTAGCATATTACATATTTTCTTTGGTAGAGCAGCTACAGTTTGGAGTGTAATACAAGACAGTATATTTCACTTTCTGTGTTTCAGTTTCTTCAATTGAAAATCATGGGTAATTATACCTACTTCATAGGTTCTGAGAATCAGGAGTTAATGGTGCTTTGTAAGCAGTTATTGTTTTAAAAATAAGAAACAAAAAAGGTTTTTAGAAAAAAACCATTACTTTGTTATTGGTTGCTGTTACATTACTATGGGGTTGCTTGCAAACTTTGCTTACATAATACCTCACTGCTAATAGTTTGTGATATAGGAGTGATTTGTAGACTCTTGATTTAGATTACTTTATGAGTTCAAAGTCAGATTCTTTAAGTGGGTTGGATCTTGGTTTTCTAAACAAGGTACCTTTTTCTCTGTATGTAACTTAACAGTGAGAGATTATTTGGGTTGCTTTTGTAGGCCTTTTGGTCCTTAGAGCATAACAATTTAAGTTCTGTTGAGTTCTCTTTTTTTGAAGGTCTTTTTTTGAATGTTTATGTACTTATGAGCACTGTTTGATTTACGATTTCAGGAAAGTATTCTTGATGAACTTGACAAAGAAGAGACTACCCATGATTCTCTGTCTCAAGAATCAGAGTCAGAAGAAGATGGAATTCATGTAGATTCACAAAAGGCCCTTGCTCTAAAAGAAAAGGTACTCTTTAATAGTTAGCTTTAGGTTCCTTCAGATAGGCAGTATATATAGAAAATCATGTGGATCCCAAGATTTCTTTAGCATAGTTTAGGGATGTTCACCCTTTAATTGTTTATTGGCTGTATCCCTCTTGGGAGGCAGTATGCCGAGTAGTTAGGAGTGTATGTTTCAAAACTAGGTTACCTGGGTTCAAATCCTGTCACAAGGTCTTTAAATTGTATGTGCTAGGTTTTCTCAACTGTAAAATAGGATGAATATTATTAATAAACCTCAGTGGGTTATTGTGAATATTAAATGATTCTTTCATGTAAACTGCTTGGACTGTACGGAGGGTTGTTCCAAGATTTTCGTAAGTAGATTGGAGTAACCTAAAATCTGCATGTGACTCTTGACATGAATATTATATCTCCTCCATCTCTCAGACCATCTGTGGTTACTTTTTGGAATGTTTATCTCCCCGAGGAGCGCCTCATGATTATAAAACTAGATATATTGTTTTTCCAAAATGTGGCACTTTTTTCACGTTAACTTCATCTCGGTACCTTTTTATGGTTACATTTCTTTGCGTTATTATTGTCAATAAAAAGTAATGCTAAATATTTTACTCATTTTTCTGCCAGGACTCTTGAATTGTGTCCACACTGTGACTATATAGTGAATTTCAACACTTGTAAAAAGGCCATTTGCTTCATCCTCTTTTCTTCCTTTTAGCCTTGATCACACAGCTAATGAGTTGTAAAGAAATGGATAATATTGAAAAAATTTGCTCTGTAATTCTGTGCTAGTAATATCTGACTTGTATGCTTTTTCAGGGCAATAAGTACTTCAAACAAGGAAAATATGATGAAGCAATTGAGTGCTACACCAAAGGCATGGATGCCGATCCTTATAACCCTGTGTTGCCAACAAACAGAGCTTCAGCACACTTTAGAATGAAAAAGTAAGGAGTTTTCACAGTCCGTGCCTATTTTATATGTATATGGAAAGTGGCATTTTAAATAATTTTTCATGATAAAATATGTGGGAAAACTGAAAAAGTACATTTCTTTTCAGCTGTAAATTCTTATAGCTCACTTCCTATTATTGAGCTATTTTATTTAAGCCATTTTAAAATGGGTGCTCAAACAATGCTCCCATAACTCATTTTACTGATGTGTTCCTCCTCCAAAAATCAAATAATGATCTTCTTTACCCAATTCACAAAAGAAAAAGGAATTTGGCTCGGTAAACATTTTTAGAAATCAATTTCCTCTATTATTTAGAAAAATTATTTATCTATTATTTAACCTAGAGAACTTTCATTATGGTACATGTAAAATATGTTCCAGCATTTATCTTTCAGTCATATTGACTGTTTAAATACATTCTTATTGTTGAAAACATAAATGTGTCATGGTTTTATTATAAGCAGAGAACCAACCTATCAAAAGAATTTTTAAAAAGACACATACCATCAAGGAAGACATTCTTACTGTTTTAATTATCATTTGAAAGTATGAATTATTTGTGTCTGAGTTTTAACTGTTTTAAATAGTATATTTTTAGATCTTTGAAATTTACACTATTAATATTCTGACAAATTAGGTGGGCATTTACATTTTATAATATTTGATATTTACAGCATATGTAAATGAAGAATAATTTGAAATAATTCCCATATGAAGTCATCATATGCTTTTAAGAACCAAGATATTACTATTTTTGAGGCCACCTTGATAAGCCTTTACATATCCTGATTGTTTCTCCTCTCAGTCTATTTTGAATTGTATATTATTCTTTTGTTTAAGAAGTTTATTATATATGTATCCCTACCTAATGTATTATATAACTTTGCTTATTTTTGAACAGTAAAAGTATATTATACTGAATGTAATCTTAAATTTCTCTGAATATTAAATTTCTCAGATTTGTCATGTTTTGCATGTAGCTGTAGGTCTCTTTTTCCCCTGTTAGATATGGTTTCTTTTTAAGAATATACCATTATGTATCCATTCTCCTGCTGCTGGATTGTTGATTTCTTTCTTCCTCTCCTTCCTTGTTTATAAACAGTGATACTGTGGACACATGAACACTTTTGTATGCTGGGTGTAGGGTGTGCATATGTTCAGTTTTAAGTGGTGACGACCAGTTGTTACAAAGGCAGTTGTACAAATTTACATTTCCTATTAGTGCTATGTAAGAACACTTGTTCTATATGATTTAAAAAAATTTTTAAATTGAATCTATTGGGGTAATATTGATTAATAAAATTATATAGGCTTCAGGTGTACAATTCTGTAATACATATCTGTATATTGTATTGTGTATTCACCACCTCAGTTCCTATTCTGCATGTTTACCAGTGCTGGTGTAATAGGGCTTCTTGATAGTTTCCAGTCAAGGGATTATAAAATGGTAGTTCGTTGTGGTCTTATTTGTGTTTCCGCAGTTTCTAAGGAGACTGATCATCTTATACGTTTATTCACTACATATATTTTCTGTGAAATGCTTGTTTTGTCTTTTGGCCACTTTTCTGTTAGGTTGTTTACTATTAATTTTTAAGAGTTCTTTATTTTGGGTACTAGTTCTTGAGTGTTTGTTTATCATAATCATCTTCTCCTAATTTGTAGGTTATCTTCTTTCCTTTCTTTATGGAATCTTGATCAACAGAAATTCATAACTTTGTTGATTTTTAGAAAAAAATGTTAGCACTTTTTAAAATACAGTTTGTTAAAGTAGTTTCCTTTCCTGGGCTCAGAATAGTCTCCTATATTCTAAAAGTTTTTATGTTTTACTTTTCACATATGCTAAGTATAGCATATGTTTTACTTTCTACATATGCTAAAGGTAGAATTCCAATTTCCTATCTTTTCACATGAGTATCCCGGTTGCTTCACCCTAGTTATTGACTATCCGTGCTTTCCTTGTGGGTCTGCAGTGCCACCACGTCACACATCAGGTTTGCATGGACCTCTTTTTCATCTCTTTCCCTGTTTTTCACATTGATCTGTTGCCTATTGCTATGCTCATTCCACACTATCTTTAATTACTATAGCATTATAATTATAAGTCTTGTATTTGGTATAGGGCATGTTACCCTACCTCATTCTTCAGGAATGTCTTAGGTGTTCTTGAACTTGTGCTTATCAATATAAATTTATCAAGATAAATTTTATCTTGTCAAATTCCTTAAAAAATTCTGTTTGGATTTTGATTACAGTTGCTTTGGATTTATAGATTAGTTTGGAGAGAATTATATATTGTTATGCTTTTGTACCTTATAGGTTAATGTGTAATATCTCTACTTGAGTCTTCTATAATATTTTTGAAGACAGTTTTCCAGTTTTCTGCATGTGGGACTTGCACATCTTTTGTTAGATTTTTTTGGGCTGATTTATAGTAAAGTAGCCAGCTTGCCAAACCTTGTTATTTGTAACAATGTCTCTAGATTGTTTTGAGTGTTCTAGAGAGACCATCATATCATCTGAGAATGTCAGTTTTGTCCCTTCCAGTCTCTTTAGCTGTCTTTCTTATGGAGCAGTATTACTAGGACCTATAGCGCAATACTGAGAAAAAACAGTAATAGTGGACATTCTTGTTCTTTGTTTTCAAGGTGCTGCTACTTAACATTTTACCATAAAAAATGACTGCTTTTCAAAGGCTTATTAAGTAAAAGGAGGTGGGAAATATCCCTTTGGATATTTTTGGAAAATTACTTATATTCCAAAAGTAATTACTTATATTCCAAAAGTAATGTTGGCTATTGTGAGGCTAGAGGTAATGCATGCAGAGCTCTTAACACATTTGTGTTATATTACTCCGTAAAATTGGTTTGTATAATATACATTATGGTCTGAATATTTGGGGGGATTTCAGAAAGAAATTTTGAAGTTTTAGTTTAACAAATTATTTTTTATTAACTTTAATTTTTTAAATTGCAGGTTTGCTGTTGCTGAGTCTGATTGTAATTTAGCAATTGCCTTAAATAGAAGTTATACAAAGGCTTATGCAAGACGGGGTGCTGCTCGATTTGCTTTGCAAAAATTAGAGGATGCCAAAAAAGGTATTAATATTTTCCAGGTCATCACTGTCTTAAAAACTTCTTTAACATTTAATTTAAAAGATGTTATACAAAGAATATTGGATAATCACAGTTAATACTTTCTGAGAGCTTTCTATATTTGTATGAAGTTCATTTTTATAATTTAAAAGTTATCTTGGTATTTTGGGAAAGAATGCATTATATGCCACTAAGTAGACTTTGGTTCAGATTCTCATTCCCCCATGTAGCTGTGTGACCAGGGGAAGGTTATATATCTTCTCTGATTTTCAGTTCGTCATCTGTAAATAGGGATGAAAACATCTTGTTGGCTATTGTGAGGCTAGAGGTAATGCATGCAGAACTCTTAACACATTTGTGTTATATTACTCCATAAAATTGTTTTGTATAATATACATTATGGTCTGAATAAAGCTGATATCTAAAGGAGTCTGCTGCGTTTTGGTTGTATGATGACTTAGGATAGCAAGTATCCTTCCTGGGGCTGGTGGAAGAAGGTGATCTCATAGGATTTTGTCTGTCTTGGGGGAGAATGGGGAGAGCCCAGTAGCCTAGTGTTAGTATTTCTTAATTCTTTTTACTTTTGCTCTGGGACAGTTGCCTGTTAGCATATACAGCAGCAAATGATTATTGTTTTAAAATACATATCTTTCAAATATTCTTTGTCTTCTATTTTACTCAGATTATGAAAAAGTGTTAGAACTGGAACCAAATAACTTTGAAGCAACAAATGAACTCAGGAAAATTAATCAGGTAAACCAGTTATTTAAATTAACTGTATTACTTATCACCTTTTTTGATGAAGTAAGGATTTGAGCATAGATTTTATACTGTAGATTATTTTTAAGATTTTATTTATTTTTAGGTAGGGGGAGTGGGAGTAAGAGTGGGAGAGAAACATCAGTGTGTGGTTTCCTCTCATGCATCCCCTACTGGGGATCTGGCCTGCAACCCAGGCATGTGCCCTGACTGGGAATCGAACCAGTGACCCCTTGGTTCACAGGCTGGCACTCAATCCACTAAGCCACACCAGCCAGGGTATACTATAGATTATTTAATATAGACATTTTTCTCATTTTAATTCTTTATATTGTGGAGTTTTACCAAATTTGCAAACAAGAGATAGTATAGTGGTATTTAAAGAACCTTAATTAATCATTGTTTTAGAAAATTGTCTAAGATCTTTTGAACTAGTGTTGCTTTACTTTTTCCCAGGCAACAGAATTGTTTCTCATTATCTGATTCTTTTTTTTGTTTGTTTGGCATGTGTTTTGATTTCTGTACTCAACTTTTGCATATTTCTTTGATTTTGTAATTTATAAGTTGCATCTTTGTAATTTATATCCTAGTAGAAATCTTACTATTTTTTAACAGTAAGAAAATAGTTATTACTTAAATGTAAAGTTTGTTGTCAAATAATACTGAACAGTTACATTCCTTTCACTTTGCTATTGAATTAGTTATAATATTTTACTGTATGTTGAAACTGAGATAAAAGTGGCTATGATTGGGAAAAATCTGCTTTTAAACATTGCCATTACTTATTGCACATAAAATTCTGTTGGTAAATATATCAATTTGGTTAAAATTGTGAGCTGTATTGTATATTTTTGTATTTTGTCCTAGATTAAATAATGGGTATGAACATTAAATTTGAGAAATTTGGTGATGTAATTTTAATTACCTATTTTGGTTTTAAAAATAGTTCTTAGAACAGTACCTTGTTTGTAGAAATTCAATAAATACTTGTTGAGTAAATAAATGAATACCTACATTCAGTAGATACTACTTATTTTAATTGCAGTAAGATGCACATTAAAGTTATAGTCTTTTGCTTTTTAATAAGTAGAAAGGAGCTCCTACTCTTTACAATAACATGGATGGAACTGGAAGGCATTATGCTGAGTGAAATAAGCCAGGTGGTGAAAGACAAATACCACATGATCTTACCTTTAACAGGAACCTAAACAATAAAACAAACAAACAAGCAAAATATAACCAATGACACTGAAATAGAGAACAGGCTGACCAGAGGGGAGAGAGGAGGGAATTTCAGGGGAAAAGGGGAAGGATTTACAGGAGCAAGTATAAAGGACACATGGACAAAAACTAAGGGGGGTGGAAATGGGAGGGAGACGGGAGGACTGGGGGCATTGGCTGGGGTGGAAGTAAAAGACAGAAAACTGTACTTGAACAATAATTAAATAAAAAATAAGTAGAAAGACTTTGAGTTAGTAAAAATATTATTTTGAGGAATGTGGCTGAAATTCTAATATATTTGAGTGGTTTAGTATTTTAGAGTCAAATATGTATGCATCTTGCCTTACTTGTTTCAGTTTAGTTGCTCTGTCTCCTAGGCTTTAACCTCCAGAGAAAACTCACACCCAAAGGAAGCTGACACAGTGATTAAGTCAACCAAAGAAGAGAAGAAGCAAGTTGAAGAGCAACAGAATAAGCAGCAGGCCATTTCAGAGAAAGATCTGGTAATCCAGAGTTCCCACATATATGTTTTGTTGAGTTTACTCTTAGTCTCTTGTATATTAATTAAGTTTCTCTATTTTCTCATATTAAAATTCTTTTTCAGTACGAACTGAAAAGTATAATAGAACTTCTGGAGCCTATTAATTCAAAATTTGAGTAATTGATGACTTATTAAAAAAACATGTAATTTTAGGGACAAATTACTTGTGACCATTTTAACATGTTTATATGTAGTTATACATTTAACAGAAATAAATTATAATTCATTCTTATTTATAATTCTTTTTTTTATCAGTTCACACTGGACTATTTCTGATAAAAATATTCCAATAGAAATCCTGAGTTGAAATTTATAGACTTATAGCTTTCAAGGACCCACAGAGGACTCCTAATAAATACTTATGGAATGATTATTGATTGTGATTCACCTGACTTTGATTATAAATAAATGTTACAATAAAATCTTGTATACATACTTCAATACAGTTTAATTTTAGGTTTAGGTATATAAAAGTTACTGAAGACTGAGTTGTGCTGTTCTGGTAATCTCTTCTTTCACAAAAATTATTTGGGTTAAAATTCTTTTGTACAGAGTCTTATATGACTAAAGAGTACACTGTTCTGGCCTATATTTATTAAAATCTCTTTAACTATAAGCTTTGAGTAATACTTAATTAGTAGAATAATGGTTAATTCTGTAAAATAATAGAATAGCATACATTTTTTTCTTTTTAGTATTGAGGAGAATACTACCATTTCATAAAGTAACCCAAAATAACACATTTTGTAACATATATCATGGTCTAGATTTTCAGCAATTAAATATACTTTAATTATTTATATAATGAATTGATGAGTATTCATTGTAGTGTTTCTTAAGATTTGAATTTAACTAATTTTTTGTGTATTTTTTTCATCCTTTTCCATACTTTTATCCAAAATGATAGGGTAATGGATTTTTCAAAGAGGGAAAATATGAAAGAGCAATTGAATGCTATACTCGAGGAATAGCAGCAGATGGCACTAATGCCCTTCTTCCAGCTAACAGAGCCATGGCCTATCTGAAGATTCAAAAGTAAGTATTGGTTACATTTAATGCTTTTTAGGATGAAAATGAAATTGACCATAAATTGGCATATTAGATAAATAAATGAAAATGTTTTTACTCTTAAGCATTAAAGTTAAAATGAGAGAAAGAGAAAGGCAGTGTGTACGTCATAGTACATATAAAGTAAATTTACTCTTGTAAATGATTTCCACTGTAATAGTCTGGCATTACACAGTTTAATGCATTTTAAATTTTTTTATGCATGTTATTCTGAATTAGTGATTTAAAAATTATTTTTAACCTTATAATCCTTTGGGCAACGTCTCATCTGGAAGTGTTTTTTATATACACACACACGCAATGCAAAAGGGAATTGCTGTCATTAAAATGACTAGTTGATTATATATGCAGCTAAAACTTGGTCCATTGATATTCATGAGCTGTTTTTGGATACACTCAGGGGTTCAAGGTTGGGCATTGAGCAAGGTAATGTCTGATGGCAGAAACTGTTAACATTTCTTTGAATCTTTTGTAATAATACTTCACACACTAGTGACAGAATTTTTAAAAATACTATAAATATTATAAATAGGGATTTTAAACTTCTTTGTGCCATGGACTCCTTTGGCTACATTGTGAACCTTTCTCAGAATAAGTTTTAAATGTGTAATTACACATGTAGGATTATAAAGGAAACTGATTATATTGAAATATAGTTTTAAACATACTAAAATTTGTGATAGAGTGGTATGTATACTTTTTAAAACACACTATATAATGAGAGACTACATTTAAAATATAGGCAAGTTAAAGTTAAAAGTATCTTAAAGACAGTAATATGAAGGCCTGAATAATGACACTAGAATTTGGGGTGATCTTTGACACATCTTCCATATATTGATTAAGTAATAAGTGTGGATAGGAAATGCTCAGAAAGGAACATCGATGATTATGTTACTAGTGTGGTAACACATGACTTCATTCTTTGGCATTTGATTGACTACTAGGGATAGAGTTGCCCAGTTGTTAGCTAGCTACGTTGTAGGAACGTCTGAAACAGGGATAGTACCACCACATGCAAACAACTAGCAGGTTAAGTTGCAACTGTAATTCTGAAAAGCAGTATTTTGAGATAATCTGCTTTTACTAATGTTTGTTACTATAGTTACAATCGAAAGAAAAGCAAAATTTTATTTAAAAGTTAGTGAAAATAAGGATGTAATAGTTTTCTCACCCAAGGTTTCAGATCTTTTTAAAAAAAATTTTATTTGGTTATTTTTCAAGTACAGTTTTTTGTCTATTTCTCCCATCCCAGCCCCCCCCCCCGCCCTGTGCTCCCCACCTCCCTCCCATTTCCACCCCCCTTAGTTCTCGTCCCTGTGTCTTTCCTATTTGTTCCTCCAAATTCCTCCCCATTTTTCCCCTTAAATTCCCTTCCCTCTCCCCTCTGGTCGCTGTGCCCCTGTTCTCTATTTCAGTGTCTTTGTTTTTATTCTGCTTTCTTGTTTGTTTTGTTGTTTAGCTTCCTGTTAAAGGTGAGATCAATGGTATTTGTCTTTCAGCACGTTTTCAGATCTCTTAAAGGGCCTCATGTTAGGAACCCCTGTTGTAGAAGTAAATTTTGACTGTATGCTTAACCTCATTGAAACTAACAGACAGAACTAGAGATGCATTATTTTGATTAGTCAGAGTAAAGATCATGACATTTTTGTAGCTTATGAAAATTTTGAATTTTTGCTATTTAAGAATTGTACGTGATTTGCCCTGGCTGGTGTAGCTCAGTGGACTGAGCACGGGCCTGTGAACCAAACAACCACAGTTGATTCCCAGTCAGGGCACATGCCTGGGTTGCAGGCCAGTTCCCAGTAGGGGATGCACGAGAGGCAGCCATACATTGATATTTCTCTCCCTCTCTCTTTCCTTTCCCCTCTAAAGATAAATAAATAAAATCTTTTTTAAAAAGTTAAAAAAAAAGAATTGTACATGATTTAAAAAGTGTAAGACCTGGATTCTTAGGTTTAACTAATGCCAAGAATAATACCTTCTAACAAGTGAGAGATTATACCACATATATTTATTTATGTATTTATTTTTAATAGTTAATTTTTGTTGTATTTTCCATTGCCATTTATCCCCACAATACCTTCTTCCACCTCTACCCACCCCCCCAATCACTACATATATCTACATTTGTAAGAGCTCTGATTTATTGTATTATTTTACTGTTTTAGTTGGTAATCACATTAGTATTATAGCAAGTTAATGATATTTTAAATTAAATATGACTTATTTGTATTCTTTTTCTAGTGTATCTTTTAGATTCAAACTTATTGCAAAGGTTTTTTGTTCCACGTGGTAACTGTTGTCAGGCATTACAGGCTAGAGGAGGAATATGAAAAGGGGCAACTTTCCAAACAGGAATTTGAACTGAACTGATGTAAAGAGGTAGTAAGGTGAAAAGACAGGTTGAGAGAGCCAGTGAGGTTCAAAGGCTTAGGAGTGGGAAATTTCATGGTCACTTCTGGAAAGGGCAAGTGGTCCATATTATGGCTGTCTCACAGGGGATAATGGTAAGGATCCGGCTGGAGAGTCAGACAGGCCCCTGGCTGTGTGTTCTGCAAAGGAGCTTGTTGATCCTGGAAAGTGTGGGGACTGTGCAAGTGTCATGAATGGTCAGGCAGTCAGGTAGAAAATTCGTTGTTGATATAGGGATGGGCACACACATCTTTCTTGTTGAAAAATGAATTAAAGAATTAAGAGATCTTTGAGTTTACTAGATGATATAATTGTATTTATATTAGGTCTTGTTTTGAGGGTAGAATAGTATTCACTTAGGCCTTGGGGAAACTGTAATCACAAGAGATTGTTTAAAAAATATTTTTATTATGAAACTTTTCAAACTCTGTACCAGATCATCTAGTTTCATAAAGCTATACCTTCTTTTGTCATATTTGTTTCAGTTTTCCCCCACCCTGAATTATTACAGATAGTTGCAGACTTTATGACATTTCATTCCTATAATTCATACATAACCATAATACTGTTATCAGGCCAAATAAATTTACAATAATTCATTAATGTCATTTTAACGTATAGGAAGGTTTCAAGTTTTTGTGGTTAAGCTCTTCTTAGCTGCTTGTTATAGAGCAGAACCCAGTCAGATTGAGTTGATGGGTTGCATGGCTGAGTAGAATTTATGGATAAAGTGTCAGATGATATACCCTCACACATAATGTTTTGTGTGGGTTGTTTTTCCTTAGATGATGTGTACTACAGGTAAATATTAATGACATTTTATTAGAAATTAATGCCAGTTATCATTGTTAACATAAAGTGTGCGTATTGAGGGTTAGAGGGGAGGTAGACTGCCAGCAGTGCTATTCTTTTGTCTGTTCTGCTCATATTTTACCATCTTGAGCCCATCCTTTTCTGACTTTCCTTTAATCTGGTACCTTCTCCCTCCTTACCAGATGCTTCCAAGATTTAGTGAGAGTATAACATTTTACAATCACTCCCCCCCCCAAACACAGAATTGGGGTTGGTAATTGAAATTATGTGCATGCTTTTTGTATTAGAAACTCAGTCTATATGAAGTTTTTCTGTAGGTTGCATTTTTCCAGTTGGTAATTGTATCATGTTTAATAGATATGAAGAGGCTGAAAATGACTGCACACAAGCTATTTTATTAGATGGCTCGTATTCTAAAGCTTTTGCCCGAAGAGGAACTGCGAGAACATTTTTGGGAAAGTTAAATGAGGCCAAACAAGGTATGACTCTTATTATAATAACTGGCACTCACTCATCCTGATGAGATTCCCAAGTTACAGAAGCAGGTTGTGTAGCTTTTCCGTGATTCAGTGTTACATAACTTGTAGAAGTACATTTTCTTTCACAATTTAGGTCATAAACGTTTACAGATTTGAAGGAATGCAGCTTCTGTAGTAGACCTGATTATCTTTTAGTAGCATATAGTGTACTCTGGCTAGTTGCCAATCAAAATGAGTGAACGATTTGAACTACAGGTGAGAAGGAAAAAAGCAAGAACAAGGCAAGAATGAAAAGGAAGGAAATCAGCAGGTAGGGTACAGGATAATGTGAGGTCTGTGGTGATTTCCCCTCTTCATTTTTCTTGATACTAGTTATATGTTTTTGTAAAAGATTTATTTATTTATTTTTAGACAGAGAGGAACGGAAGGAGAAAGAGGGAGAGAAACACCAATGTGTAGAGGGCAGACCACGCCCTTTACTGGGGACCTGGTCTGCAACCCAGGCATGTGCCTTAACTGGGAATTGAACCAGTTACCCTTTGGTTCACAGGCCAGCACTCAATCCACTGAGCCATACCAGCCAGGGCAGTTATATGTTGTTTTATTTTTCCATGATCTGTCTTTTTAAATATTCATTAGTCTTTTTGAAGAACCTACTTGTTTCTGTTGTGTATGTTTTCTGTTTCATTTATTTCTGCTCTTTATTTTCTTCCTTCAACTGTCTTTAGGTTTATGAGTAATTTGCTGTTTTTTTTTTAACATCCGTACTTAGATAACTGTTTTTCAGTCTTTCTTCTTTCCTGATACATGCATTTAAGTCTGTCAGTTTCTAAGTCTGGCTTCAGCTGTAGCCCATGCATTTGTTCATTATGGTAAAATGCACATAACATAAAATTTACTGTTCTAACCATTTTGAGTACATTCACCTTGTGCAACCATTACCATTATGCATCTCCAGAACTTTTTCATCATTTCATTCTGAAACTGTACTCATTAAACAGTAACTCTTCATTCTCTTTCTCCAGCCCCTGGTAGTCACTGTTGTACTTCCTATCCCTGAATGTGACTATCAGAGGTACTTTGTATAAGTAGAATCATACTGTATTTTGTCCTTTTGTGTCTAGCTTATTTCAGTTAGTATACTGTCTTCAAGGTTCATCCTTTCGTCCATGTTGTAGCATGTATCACAATTCAGTTCCTTTTTAAGGCTGAATAATATTTCATCACATGGAAATATCTTAGATTCTGTATTACCATAGCATTTGTTGACAGTGGGAACTTTGGATGACCTCTAGACCTCAGTCATATCATCCATAAAGTGGGGTTTTAGTGAGGGATATATGAGAATTCATGCAAGAATAGCACTCAGTAAATGTTAGTTCTTGTTACTGCTCACCTGTTTCCTAGCGTCTTGAGTAAAACTTCCTGAGATAAACATGGGATTACTAAACTAACTAAATATATTAGTCTTGAATTTTATACAGTGTTTTCACTAATTTATTATATTTCTTAAAAATTCACTTTAGATTTTGAAACTGTTTTACTTCTGGAACCTGGAAATAAACAAGCAGTAACTGAACTTTCCAAAATTAAAAAGGTAATTAATGTTTTTTTATCACCAAAATATGCTTTTATTTTCTGTAACATAAACACATTTATTTGTTGCATAATTAACTTGATAATATTTTTATTCTCATGATTACAAATTTCTTTTCAAGGAATTAATTGAGAAAGGACACTGGGATGATGTCTTTCTCGATTCTACTCAAAGGCAAAACGTGATAAAACCCATAGATAATCCACCTCGTCTTGGATCAACTGTAAGTAAAGCAGCTTTGTATCAGTGTGGGAGGGATAAGAGGTGGAAATTGTTGAATTAATTTCTTAACAGAAATGTTGAAATCTCTTCCTAGGGCCATGTTTAGAATATTTAAAAAATACTTTTTAGGATTATTGATGTAATAACATTGAGGGGGGAAATTGAGCTGTTGAGAGTTCTGGGGTAACTTTTAAAGTGCCTGCAGTTTTAATACCTTACATTTAAATGTTTCCACATATTTTATGATATTAAAGGGATTTAAAGCAGCTTTACATTTTGTAATACTTAAGAATGTTTTATTATTATTCTTATTTGAGATTGGGATTGTATTAAAATAGTTTTCCATCTTGTGTGGGGTTACATCTAAAAATCAGCACTTAGGCAAAATCTTGTATAGGCAAGATTGTGTTTTAAAATACATACTGCACATAGTTTTTGGTATACCATACTGTTTTTCATTAAGTCTAGTAACAAAGCTAAGTTTTTTTTCTGTAATATTGGAACAAAAAGAGTAGCTGGCATGAATTCAGAAGTTTGTCTTGTGCTAAACTTTTAAAATTGAACTCATTTAAGGCAAATATATAATGTGATTGTAAGGTAGTTTGCATCATTGACATAGTTTTATATATTATATATATGTATTTGAGAGGTAAAATACATGCAGAAAAGTACACAAGATAAATTACGATTTAAAGAATAATTATGAGGTGAATACCCATGAAACCACCAAGCTGGTCAAAAAATTGAAAGGCATCCATGCCTCTTCCCCCTGAGAAGATTTCCCGTGTACCCCTCACTGATAATGATCCTCTCCCTGCCCTCTAGAGATAACTGTTATTTGAGAGAAATAACAACTATAAGAAGTCAGGCAAAGAATGTTTTATCTTCTCCCCCAACCCCCACTGTTCTTATTGTGATTTTATTCTTGAATTTCCTGAGACAATACTTGTTTCATATATCAGGCATAAATCTAGTTGCTTTCATGCATTATATTAATTTTCTGTTCTTTTCAGTAAAGGTGATTAAATGTTTAATTAAATGTAATTTAAATTTCTACATCTTTGTAAAACTTCTTCACAAAAACGAATTCACAGGTTTTAAGAAAGCCTTTGTCAGACTTTCCTGTCTGTACTTATAAAGACATTGCCATGTTATATATCAAATATCAGTATATGTAATGTCTCATGGCCAAGATACTTTCAGAAGCTTTTACAAATCTGTGGGGTTCTCTTCTCCCTCACTTTATAAATCAGTTTATGTTAATAGTTGTGAGGACACAACATGAATTTAAGTCTCTTGTGGCACAGTTTCAAAACAAAACACCTCTATGAAATGAGAGATCTGGGGTAAACCATTCTATAAGCAATCCAACACAAACCAAATTATCATCCTAGTAGAAAAGGGGAAACTGGCTGTTTATATAATATGCCTCCATAATAAAAATGTGGGCATTATTTAAAAACGGAAGGTGCAGTTTGGCATAAGGCTTTGTAAGAGTTGATTCAAGTCCCCCTGTTTATAAACTTTTAAATCTTAGGCAAGTCACCCAGTGTCTGTGTGATTCTGTTTCTCAAGTTGAGAATAACTCATAGATTAGTTGAGATCAAAGGAATAATGTCCATTAATACTAAGGCAGCGTCAAGTGAAACAAATGTTAATTTCCTTTTCAGACACATATTTGTGAGTCTACCTGGTCATTGAGGAAACTGGTTAGGAGAAGAAGGGAGTCTGGGAAGTGGAGAGAGAGTTCTAGGGTTGGTTACTTAACTCAAGTGAGAGTCTAGGTCAAGGTAGCCTGTGCTTCAAGGGCTGGCAGCTTGGGAGTACCTTGGGCAAACCTCCAGAGAGGGTGTGGGAAACCAGTGATGTAGATAAGCTAAGCAAGGGCCTGTGGTTCCCTGATAGGGTGGTAGTAAATGAAAGTTTTCCCTGATCTCTTAGTTTCTGCTAAAATGAATGAGTGAATGAATATTTATTATTTTTAATCCGTACTTGAGTATATGTTTACTGATATTGGGGGGGCTAGAGGGAGAGAGAGAGAGAAACAAACATTAATGTGAGAGAGAAACTTCCATCAGTTGCCTCCCATACTTGCCCTGACCAGGGATCAAACCTGTAACCTAGGTATATGCCCTGACTGGGAATCAAACCCATCAATCAATACAATTGGATTGAACACTTACAGCATAGCCTTTTGGTGTATGGGATGACATTCCAACCAACTGAGCCACTCAGCCAGGGCAAAAGTTTTTATATTTATAACTTTTTGACTTAAGATTCAACTATACAATTAAATTGAACACTTACAGCATACTGAAGAAAGTTTATTGTTAAAAGTAAGTACAGTATGTAAACTTTTGAAGAAACTGAAAATGTTTGACACTAATGATTGAAATAGTGAATGCAATTTATTTTACTAATTAAAAAAAAACATTATTATGGTCAAATACTTCCTGAGTTTGTGAATATTATTTTGCAAACCTGTAATCCTGGGCTAGTTTTTTTCCAGCTGCTACTTTTATAGAAAATGTGCTTAGGTTTTAATTTTGGTCTGTTTCATACAGAAGGCTGATTATTGCCTTGCCCTCCATTAGCCCACAATATTGCTGTCAGTTTGGTCATATTTTTTTTCTTAGCTTTATTACCTCTGCGATAAAGTCCAAACTCTTGGACATGGACACAAGTCCCTTCGTTAGCTGTTCTTAAGGAGCCTTGCATTCTTTGTCTCTGTCACTCCTCCCCTTGCACCACTCCCATTGGACTTAACACTTTTTCACTGACCACCCGTAATTATCTCCCACACTGCCATTCTTGTGTACTTTTTCTGTGTGGTCTCTGCTGATGCCAGTGTTTATTATCTTTGTCTGTGTTCTCTTAGAGTTTTGTCCTTTTCCCTTTTATGATGTTTCTCCCATTGCCATGTGATTATTTACATATCTATATTCTTTCCTCCATTTAGATCGACATATGGTAGATGCTATGCAACTTTTTATTTGTATTCTCAGGCAGAGTATGACTTCTCAGTCTGTCTAGCCATTAGATGGAATTTACTTTTATAAGACATAGCCGTAAGAACACTGCAACCCTTTAATTTATAGCCCTAAAATAGAAAACCGTTATGTGTTGATTTAAGGAATTGATTTGTAATTGTTTTAGGAATCACTAAAGAAGGTTATTATTGAAGAAACTGGTCATTTGGTGCAGACTGTTGATGTGCCAGATAGCACTACTGCTCCAGAGAGTAATCCTGTTAATCTAGCAAATGTAGTAGCAACCACAGGCACTGCAAGTAAGAAGAGTTCCAGCCAAGATGACCTTTTGCCCACAGGTGATATTCCAAAAGCAAAAGTATTGAAAACAGAAGAAATCAGTGACACTTCAGCCCAGCAGTAAGTAGAGATACTCTTATTTGATACTCTCTAGAATTGTAAAGCCAGATCCAGGATTTAATAATTCCCCTAGAAAATTGATATTATCAATGAGAGTTTTGGTTTGTACTCATCATCATAATTTTTCAACTGCCTAACTTCACATTCTAGTTTTTCTTAAAAAAGAAAAAACTAGAATGTTTGTTTGTTCTTACTCTTGAGAGATGTTTTGCATAAGGAATGATCACTGTTCCTTTACTATTGTGGGGAAATTAGAGATCATAAGAAACTGTCTTTAACAAATTGACTGTTCATTTTTTCTAGAACATTAGTATATTGTTTCACTTCTTTTAAAAATTTTAAAAGGATTTTACTTCTTTATTTTTAGAGGGGAAAGGAGGGAGAAAGAAAGGGAGAGAAACATCAGTGTGTGGTTGCCTCTTGCACGCTCCCTACTGGGGACCTGGCCCGCAACCCAGGCATGTGCCCTGACTGGGAATTGAACCAGTGACCCCTTGCTTGGCAGGCCTGCATTCAATTCACTGAGCCATAGCAGCCAGGGCGCACTTCTTAATTCAGCAAAAAATTAATTTATTAAAGGAAGATTCTAAAAAATGTAGAATTCAGGCATTAGCATTACTCCAGCCACTCATACTTAAGATTGTGAGCTGTTTAAATTCTGTTTGGAATTTTTAAAACTAGTCATGTGTTTCCTTAATGATGAGAATAGGAAAATATAGACTAGGTTTGTTTGGGGTATTGAAACTTTATTCATATATTCTGACTTGCACTCAGTAATCCTATTAGACTTTTTTTTAAGCTTTGAATTTTAGTAGTAGTTCTATTTAAAGTCGCAGTATGGATTGTGGGAAAATACTAAATAGGTATGTTTTTTTCTTTCCTCTAAAGGAGGAAGTATCTCTTCTCAGAATATCTTTCTTGAAATTGATTATCTGGTTTTTTGAAAGGCCGAGTTGTAAGTGTATGTGACGCAGTAACGCAGTGTGTGGAAATGGTGTGCTCAAGGGTGGCCAGGCTAGTAGCCCAGCAGATTGCAGAGGCATAATCTGTCTTGCAAAAAATGTATTGCCAGCTAAAAGAATGAACTATTATTAGAATGTAAATAGATAATGCAATACTAGTAACATCAGAAATTTAAAAGTCTCTGTTGATGTGTTTTTTATATAAGCTTTGACTAATTTTGGTTCTTTTGAATTGTTTGATGTCTCTGAAATATTTCAGACCTCAAGTTAATTTGAAACAGGATGTATGTCAGTCTTTCAGTGAGAAGATTTCTATAGAGGTAGACAAAATACCTGCTCAGTTTATCACAACTGTTCTTCCTCCAGTTCCTGCAAACTCCTTTCAGCTTGAATCTGATTTTAGACGACTGAAAAGTTTTCCAGATATGTTATATCAGTATTTGAAGGTAAGAAAGAGGAAGCTAGTAGTTCTGTTGTAAATAAAAGATCAAAGAACGTCTTTGTCATTATACGAGGGGGGACCCAGATAACCCCAAAATTATCTTCTGGAGGGCAGGCCCCTTGTAGTACAGGCTTCCCTCCCTAGGTGAGTGTTCTAGGAACCCGTCTGCATCAGTGCACCAGGTGGTGGTGTCGGGAGAGGCTGTGTTCAGCTTCAGTGAATTTTTTTTTGAAGACTCTTCAGTGCATTTGCCCATTTTGTGATGGGTGATTTATGAGGGCACCTGCCCACACTGCACTGAGTGTTCAGCAGTTTTTGACCAAAAATGATGTGACTCCCCCCCATGCCCACCTCCAATACACCTGATGATCTCACCCTGAGTGACTCTTTTTGTTTCCCCGGGTGAAAAAAGTCCTCAAAAGGAAATGTTTTGCTGATGTGGAAGAGGTGAAACAGAAAAATGCCTAAAGCACTAAAGGGCATCAAAATCCACAAGGTCAGAAACTTTTGAACAGTGGGGAATAGTCTCAATTAGGTGTATTGCATCACATGGAAAGTAATTCGAAGGTGACTGAAGTTTAAACATGTAAGACTAAATACACAATTTATTATAAATAAATTGCGTTCTTTGGGTCCTCCCTATATATTAATAGTGTTACATTTGCTTTTTGTTGTAATATGATTGTAGGAAATGCTTTTATTATCCCTTTCCTGACACATAGATCACCCTGCCCAGGCCATTTTAAATATTTGCAACTAGGAAACCTTTAGAAGTAGGTTCGTTTTTGACCTCTCTTCTTTCAAAATAACTTAATCTGATTTCATATATCATAATTTCAAGTTAATTTTTCATCCTTCAGGATGGGGAAAAAAGCTAAAATACATTAAGTACCTTTGTGCAAGTAATGCATGTAGTATTTAGACAGTTATTCTCCTCAAAATGAATTTTATTTGCTCTAAGAAAAAACCAAATCATGAAATTTACTAAACAGTGGATTAACAGTTATTCTCCAGTGTAATTATAGTACTACTCTCTTATAATTGTGCAGTATACAGTTACTTCCAAATATATATTATTCTCATATAATTTTATTTTAAACTTTTTAAAGCTTTTATTTGTTTTTAGAGGGGGGAAGGGAGGGAGAAAGAGAAGGAGAGAAACATCAGTGTGTGGTTGCTTCTCGTGCACCCCCTACTGGGGATCTGGCCTGCAACCCAGGCATGTGTCCTGACTGGGAATCAAACCAGTGACCTTTTGGTTCATAGGCCAACACTCAATCCACTGAGCCACACCAGCCAGGACCATATAATTTTATTTTTTTAACTTTCCATTTTTATTGCCCCTTTAGAGCTCTCAAATTTCCTGTCTGTCTTAGGGTGCTGTGCATCTCTCTCTTCATGAGGTTTTTCTCTGACTCGTACAGAGTGATTGTCTTACAGTGCCTCTGACCTTCTTTCTTCTATCATTAATTACATTTCGGTGTGACCCGCCGCCCCAGTAACTTTAATGCATAGTAGTTATTCTTTTTTTTTTGGAAGATTTTCTTCCTCTATTTTTAGGGAGAGGGGAAAGGAGGGACAAAAGAGAGGGATAGAAACATCTGGTGTGTGAGGGAGACAGCGATCAGTTGTCTTTCGCACACTGCCAACAGAACCCAGGCATGTGCCCTGACCGAACTGGCAACCTTTCTGTTCTGCACACTGATGCTTAATCCACTGAGCCACATCAGCCAAGGCATAGTAGTTATTCTTTACTGTACTCACCCAAGCAGTTATTCTATAAGTAATTTATATGTGAATGTTTCCATAATTTAATTTTCTAACTCTTTTTTCCCCAAGAAAATTGAACCAGCCTTATATCCTAAGTTGTTTCAGAAAAATCTAGATCCAGATGTATTCAACCAAATCATTAAAATTCTACATGACTTTTACATTGCGTAAGTTGAAATTTTTTTAGTTATACTTTCATGTTGTTGTGCTATGCTATTTCTAGTGGTTTGGGAAATTAGTTTGTTTTGATATTATTACCACATTCTATATAGCAGAATTAGCTCTCTAGTAAGTTTTACTATTGCAGAAGTTGTAAAGAGATGATAAGTACGAGCAGTAATAAGAAAAATGATTAAATAGGATGAAAAAGGACTCGTTTTTTAAAAGAGAAATACAGAATATGGAAGTGACAAGTGTTAATAGCAGATTAATAACATCTGTGATAAGCCTCACATTTGAGAGTATTATAATTTCTTCAATTGACTTGATAAATTTCTTCATCTGGGCTCTTAAAGACAGTATTCAGAGGAAAAGATAAGTGAAGGCCTTATTTATATGTAATTAGACATACTGTGTTAGTCAAGACTTAAATGAGCTTTTTAAAAAATTTATTTATTTTAATTGTTGTTCAAGTACAGTTTTCTGTCTTCAGTTTTAACGGATCACTTGTTTGATATTTGGTTTATTTCAGGAAAGAAAAGCCATCACTCACCTTGGAAATTTTACAAAGGCTTTCTGAACTAAAAAGGTTTGACATGGCAGTGATGTTTATGTCAGAGCCTGAGAAAAGAAGTAAGTTCTGTAAAGGAAGCTTTTCCATCTCTCTGTAGTCTTAAGAATATCCTTTAATTTTTAAACAAATGGTAGCAAACATTCATTGAATATTTACTATGTCTGAGGTATACCCAATTAAACTTAAATTAATTGTAATTAAATTAAGTAAAATTAAAATTTTTAATCCTGCCAGTAACATTATGAGGTGTTGGTATGATTATCGTTTTGCTCTTACAGAGGCAGAAACTGGGGCATGGGTGGTAAGGGAAGTGATGAAGGTCATATAAGAAGTCAGATCCAGGATTTAAACATAGGCAGTCCTGCTCTAGGGCCTGGCCTGTTCTACTTGAAAATGTGGTAATAACAGAATGGTTGGGCTCCTGCCATGGTGGAACATGTAAAGGCTCCCTGCTACATGGGGCATGTAACTGGGCGTGGGTGCACTGGAAATCTAACCCCTTCTGTGAGAGCTTATTTCCTTGAGTTTATTTGATTTAAGCTCGACTCCCAAAGAAATGCAGGAGTCAATTGGATGGAGTGGGTAGGGAAGAGTTTCCACTGAGGGAATGATGTGTTCTGAGGCTCTGAGGCAGGAAAGAGCCAATTGAGTTTAGGAAATTAAGAGAAGTGCAGTGTGGCTGGATTGTAGAGTTATAGGGGTAAAGAGTGGCAGGTGATGATCCTGAAGAATTAGATCCCTTACTTGTTTTTGTATCTCAGTCTTTGGCAGAAAGTACCCATTTTGGGGAACCCTAATTTAAGTAAGATCAAACTCTGCAGAAACTTCAATTACTTGGAATTTTGGGCTATACTGTAGTTTTAGGGAAAATAGAAAAATCATAGAATACCACAGTACCAGTTTTTTTTAAAGATAACAAAAACTTGTACCACTTTCAGATCTCCTAGGCTGAATGTACTCCGGGCTCCTTATTTCTTTATGTTTCCAGCAGTGGCATTGAATGAGAGAAATGACATTAGTAAGAGAAATACTTTATATTGTGCTTAAGGAACTGGATATGTAATTTAGAGAGATTTTTTTAGTTTAAATCAAAAGAAGTTTCTGCTTTAAATTCAGTCAATCAAAAATTATCCCTGGAATTCCCTGAGAAGTGTTACTCTTATTACTGTTCTGAACTTCTACCACTTTTCTCAATCACTGTGCCCCCCGCCCCCCCCACTTTGTGTTTCTTTAATATACCAAATTGCCAGACTTAATTTAGTCTCAGCGGGCTTTGCATTTGACTGTTCCCTCAGCCTAGAATATAGGTACTTGAATTGCTTGTGGTTGGTAGGGTATGTGATTGTCTTGCACATGATGAACAGCAATTTGAGCATTTCATCTAAAATGTCATATGGTGTGCTTGAATGTGATATTGTTATGTTACAGAATTAGAGGCTTACGATTTTGAAATGAAAAAGGGGCGTTACTTGTGTTGAACCCTGTATCTCTCCACACATCCTCACCTTGCCTGCTTCCTCACTTCATTTAAGTTTCCCCTAACAGATGCCACTTCAGAGATGCTTTTTCTCGTCAGCCCTAGTTCAAATAAATGCCTGCCTACCCTCCCTCGCCACCCTGTGTATTCTTACCCTGCTTTTTTTCCCTTCATAATACGTAACTAGCTGATGGTATTTCATGTACATGTTTATTATTTCTCTCCCTAATAGAATGAAAGCTCCATGAGAGCAGGAGCTTTGTCTACCCTGTTTTCTAGGCCTTAGGCATAAAACAGTGCTTAGGACCTAATGATCTTTTGTTTTAGGAAGGTTGAATGCATTTCTTGCCACTATCATGTGATAAGTTCAGTTGTACGCAAGGAAGTGTGAGTTGGCTCTTCAGACTGGCCTTCTGTCTCGGGTGGGTCACCACTGTCCACTGAATTAAACATGGGAAGAAGCACTTACGGTTCCTGGCATGTAACTGAACATTCAGTACACATTAGCTGCTGTTATCTTCTGTATCGCCATTATCAGTAACAATGATTAGCTAGTTTTAATGTGAAGAAATAGATGAACTACAACAGCATTTTCCAAAGGGCTGATTGTGGACCATTCAGTGGTGAGAAAGATAAAGATTTTACATGATACATAGGAAGATCTGTCAATTCTTTATAGTTATATATTTTATTTTATTATACATTATGCAACTGTACAACTGGCTCATCGAACATGATTTTGTAGATATTATTGCTAATTTTCAATTTAGAATAGTGATACAAAATTTTCTTCTAAAATGATTTAAGTTTGAAAAATAGTTGATTATAATACTAAGTGTAAGTATACTTGTTAAATACAGTAAAAGTTTTAGGAAGATCAAAATGAGTTAAGGTTTAATCTGCAAGAATAATGTCATTAAGGTCTTTGGGAAATTTTTTACTACTAAAGCAAAATATTTTGGTAAGAAACATTCAATTACTGTATAATTTTCTAATCTCAGGTTACCTTTTTAAAATATATGAATTAGAACTTATAAATCTTAACGATTGTTGTTTTCCAATGTAAAGTGTTTTATTTGACACATAAGATCATTCCCTTTGATTTTTTGCACTAAGTTTTAAAAATGAAGATTAAAATGGACATTTTTTTTCTTTTCCAGTTGTACGTGTATTATTCAATCACATAGAGAAATCAGGATTGAAGGGTAATTCCATTGAAGAACTCAAGAAAAGATATGATGGTTGATTTCCATTTTTATTGAAATTATTGTCTGACTTTCACATGTGCATTTTTTCTATTGAAATAAAGTGTTTTGTTCTCTTTTTAAGAAAATGAAATCACAGGAAAGTACAATCTTTGGATATAAGTTAATTAACTATAAAGCGAATTGAGGTTTAAGTGGTAAGAAATATATTCAAGTAAACTATAAGTCTTTTTCTGAAAATAAAAATATAAATGAGGTATACTTGTAAAGATCAGTATTTTATAAGTCATCTACAATGTTTGACATAGATACATTTTTCAGTATCTGTAGATACATTTTATATTTTTGTGAGTTTTGCAACCACAATGACGAGGTTGCTTCGTTAGCACATGAGTAAAGTTGTATTTGTATGGAGGGAGTTGCGCAGGTAACTAGATTGGTTCTTTCTAAGATACTAAGGCTTTCTAGTATTGTTGTGCCGAGACTTTTTCGTATCGTGCTGGTTCACTAGCAAAATTACTTAGTTGCAGGATGTGTATTTTTAGTTTTTATGTTGAAAGGAAACTTTTAACTGGACTTTTTATATTGGTTCATTGAAGAGTCACAACATCCTTAGACTTAATGCTTCATTTTTTTTCCTGTTTGTATCCACGTCATATGTTAACTAAAGGCACATAATCTGAAGCAAAACAAGGTGTAAAAATATTAAAGACTAGCAATGTTTCCATGGTAATCACGTGTAGTGTGCATGTGCGGTGTGTGAGTGTGGCATCAGGAAGCCTTTGAGAGCAGGGCTGGTGCTCTGCTCGTCCCTGTGCAGTGCTACCCCAGTTAGGTGCTCAGTTGATATTTATATGATTGCACGTAATTTGACAGCAGGACTCAATTTTAGTGACTGTTAAAGGATCAGCCTAGCAAATTTTGGGCATCCTGTCAATGTTGTTAAAATCAATTTTAGAGGCTGTCAAGTTGTTAAAAAAAATACTAGGTCACCATCGCATAGCTGTTACCAGAATCAACAATACAGTCAAATTTAAAAGTTTATTTTATACTCTTGATAATTTTTGTTGCATCAACATTATTATGCTTACAGTTGCTGGAATAATCATAATGTATTTGCAAAGGTAATTTCTCCAGAATAAGTTATTGAAATGATCAAAATTTGTATAGCCTGTGTTTTTGCAATACACTTAGGATAGAATTTCTTAATGTTATGCATTGCTAACTGTATTGTCTTTATGGTAAATGACAGACAATGAAATTTAGCCTTTTATGTGTAGCTTATACATGAGTATTGAGTTACAAATGACCTGAAATTTTCTCAAATCATTAGTAAGAAGTTGACTTAGATCAGCAATTTTCAACCTTTTTTATCTCATGGCACATGTAAACTTTTTAGTAAGATTCTGCAACACACCAAAAAATATATTTTTTGCTGATCTGACAAAAAATGGTATACTTTTGATTCCTTTACACTGGCTGGCTACTGTTGTGTTGGTTGTTGTCATTTTTTAAATTTCATAATCTAAAGGAAAAGAGGTCAGTGCCCTGACCAAATAGTCAGGTATTTCTTGTTGGAAAAGTCCTGGTGGCACACTGGTTGAAATCACTGATCTGGATGAGTAGAAGAGTATTCCAAGGGCAAAAAAGTTCTCATATTTTCTTACGTGATCCTTAGAAGAAACTTCCAAGGTAGAAGGGCAGGTAGTTTGATTGCCATTTTTAACGTGAATAAAGGAGATTCAGAGTAAACGTTTCCGTGATTACAGAACCAAAATATAGTAGAGCAGGTTGAGAACATGCTGTCTTCTAACTATTAATCTATAGCTGTTCGAACTACTCCAGTTGGAGTATTTATGTTGTGTTATCTGTGTAGTGACTTGTCCTGAAAAAGTATATAAATCCCAAGATTTGCTTTATAATTTACATTAATTTTTTTTTGATGTTAGCCTGCTTTTTATTATTAGCTCAGGGGCTCATCATTTAGCTGTTGCATCCATGCCGCATTCTCCTCTAACTGGTCTGTGTTCCCAGCTACACTACCACAGATCAGCTCCTTATCGCCACTGGAATGAACTTAAAACTCAAGTCACATGTCACTTCTTTGCTTAAAACACTTCAATGGCTGCCCATCACTTTCAGAAAACTGGCTTCTTAATGTAGAGAAGGCCCTTCATGATCTGGTTCCCACCCCCTCACCTATCTCCCAACAGCCAGGTCCCCGCAAGCGTCCTGCTGCCTGCAAATCCCTGGTTGTATCCTGTTCTCAGATCCCTCCAGCCTGGGCTGTTCTCTGCCTGGACCCTGCCCACCTGGATCTCTCTTTCTCATCCTTCATGTCTGAGCCTAGACATCTCTCCTTTGGGGATGCCTTTCTCCATCCCACTAGGTGAGCTGTGTCCTGCATCTTGGGCTTCTGTGATTGTATTTGTCCCCTTTATAATAGATTCCCCTTCTAGTCTCTGAGATCCTCGAAGGCAGAGGCTGCAGCTTTAATTTTTATATTTTTAACAACTCACACAGTGCCTGGCATATACTATAATGCTGCTGAATTTAAAATTAAGTCCAGAAATCAAAAAGACCTTTGTGAAACCATACATTCCAATATTAAGTTCATAAGACCATCACTATCCTACAAAAAGTGTTCATTGATGATGTGGTAAGTGTGGATTCAGTGGGAACTAAAATGAGTCTTTATATCAGTGGGGTGACGAACATGCATTCTGTTTTCACGGGGTGGCTTTCCAAAGCATGTTACTTGGCACATAATATAAAGTTAAATAATAGCTGAGTACATGAATTCAAGCATTATACGAGGAGATGGAGTATCCGGATGAAGAGTTTTAAATTTGGCTCAAAGAACTTCACTGAACATTGGAGACCTTTTCATCCTCAGTGGGGATTATTTAATTCTACTGTGTTCAGATAGTTTCCGACCCCTCCCCCGCACCAAACAGCTCTTAAGGGGAACAGGCATTTCTGTTTCTCCTGTGGAACTCCTGTTGGTCATAGCAATTCAAGCAGCCTTAGTGATTGATACAGCTGCCATTTATATGCCCTTTACTGTGTGGTAGGCACTGTGCCCGCGGCTTGGCGTGTATCTCCATTCCAGAAACAGGCTCTGAGACAGAAGTTGCCCTGTGGAGCCCGGAGTCAGGCAGAGGTTTGTCTGACAGGCTCTCAGGTGCTTCCTTCTACAGCACTGTCAGCGAGAAGCTGGAGAAGCAGCCAGCAGCTGGCATTTCTGTGGTATTACTGCCCTCCTCTGGATCTTTTAAAAATAGCACAATGTGCCTGAAAGCATGCTGATGAGAATCAAAGTGAAAGTGAGTTTTAATTTCTTAGCAGTGCTGTTCAGTATCCATAGAAACCATCCAGCTGGTCTAGCAGGCACGAAGGTGTGTGTCGTCCTTGGTCACATGGTCAGGTATGGAAACCTGGGAAGAGAAGATGGTGAGAGGAGGGAGTGTGGCCGACAGTCCTGCCTGAGTTCAGTCAGCTGCAGACAGGTCCTGGAGGCCTCCTCTGCCCTTCCCCACGAAGGTCGGATCGGGCAGTTGGGACACGGGAAAGGAATTCGTGTTTATTTGGGCCCTGCGCTGAGCCCGATTCACTCTGGCCTGCTGTAGTTGCCTGATCGCACTGGGAGGCTGTGAGGTCGGCAGGGGAGCGTCACCTCAAAGTCAGTGCCCAGCCATGGCCAAGTCAGAAGCTCCATCTTCCTACACCAAAAAAAAGAGAAAAGCCCCTTTCGAGTGCGTTGCAGGGTCTTTCTAAGGACATGGAGGGTGTTGTGTGAGGGAAATTCCTCCTTCAGTACTTTAGTGCGCGGGATCTGGGTCCAAAATAAATGTCAGACTGGACTTTGAAGAGGAAGAGATGTCACAAAAATGCAGTCACAAAGGCCAAGAGGGAGGGGGTGTACAGTTATGTGTGCGTGTGTGTGGTGGGAAATGGCTAAGAGCCTGTAGGGTACTTGGGTCTGTTTACTTTTTTAAAAATCAGTAATTTTACAGAGTTTTTATTTACTGATTTTAGAGAACTTGGGTCTTTAACTGGTACACAGAGATTCCTGTTTCTCTTCTGCTTTCCCCCCCTTCCCCATTTCTGTTGTCAATAAATTGTTTTGACGTTTACTTTATAGAGTCCATTTAAGTATTCGCTCTCCCTGGGATAATTGGATATGCGTGTAGCCTCAGAGCAAAAACTAGGACATCAAGGCAGATCCTGAATTAGGGTGGAATAGTGCATTTGCTGTGACACAGGCCTGGTTGAGACTAAGAAGTGGCCATAGTTCTGTGGTCATTAGTTTGATATCCCAAAGATTATGCCATGTTTAATCCTCTGTTTTCTACTCTTTGTACCAAGCTTTTTGTGAGGCTGAACATCCTTGAATTCTTTGTGATTAGTTACTGCTCATTGGGCAGGTGATAGCTTGTTAGGATTGCGAGAGAACCAAAAGACTCATCTATTTATGACTCAGCAATAAATAGAGAAAACTGACATGCCAGTCCGGTCCTCTAGCTACTGGCCTGATTATAGCACTAGGAGCCTTTCATTCCAAACCCAGGCCAGTGTTACCCTGGGAGCCTGGCCGTGGTGCACGCTCCGACCATGTCCTCTTCTCCAGCCCTGGGTTGACCGACAGCCATCGGGAAGTGCTGAATACTTCTCCCCCTGGCCTGGTGCAGGGCCTGAAAAACCTCATCTAGTCCTCTTGGAGACAAACAGTTTTACCGTGGCCCAGGCAAATTAGTGTTATTAAATAATATTTATAATTCAAAAGAAGTGACATATGAGCTAATTGGTCCATTAGCAAAGATAATTTTACCTAATAATGCCCATTGTACCTTTTGGCCTTGGAGAGGATGCTGAAGGAGTGCAAAGCCAAGATGGAGTTTAGGGTAATCCAGAAGCGGAAAGGGACTGAGCTGAGGAACCGAGAGGAGGAGGGCAAACTAAACCTATTCACCTTCCACGGGCCAGCGTTTTGCCTGAGTGGGGCCTGCAGGTGCAGAGATCCCAGGTTCACAACCTGACATAAGTATCTGGGTCTCTAGGGTGAGTTTCTCAGTTGATTCAGTGCTGGGCGCTCATAATTTACAGCTCTGGTTACTGTTAGTAATGACTAGATTGAGGTTAGTGGAGGGTGAGGTGGGATGCTGTAAGGTAGGCCCCCACCTCAGCCCTTCTGTAAACCAAATCGCAAGGTCTCCTGAAGCTCCTATTTGCAGACTCCAGAGAGAGCACCAGGTTCAGATTGATGTACATAACTGTCACCAGGTATCCTCAAGGGCTCCAGCTCTGGGGGGTCATTCATCCCTTTGATGGTCCAAAACAGCTTGAGCCTCCTTCCTGTGTTCTGTGGAAGACATCAGTCTTTTCCTGGGTTCCAGAAACACCCAGTCCAGGGAGTGTTTACACGCACAAATCTGCCCTGATGGCCCCTTGTCAGCTTTCTGGGCCTCTGCTGCTGCGGGCTCCCCTGCCCTGGCTGCCCCTAGCCCCTTCTCCCTGCTTCTGTTCCTCTGCAGGCCTGCTTAGCCCCAAACGTGCCCTGCTGTGAGCCTCCCATTCACAGGTTATACTGGAAGACACAGTCTGGTACAGCGTAACTAAATACTTGAGGATGCAGCCAGAGCACTAAGGGACAGAAGAGAAAAGGCATCTGTGCTCCTGGTGTCCACTGTGTTTTTGCAAACCACCGCCCCCCACCCCCCACTTCTAGCTGGCAGAAGCCAGAGGAAGCAAAAACCAGCTATTGTCTGTAGAGGTCACTGTGCTCTGAAGACGGGCTTTACTAGAAGCTCCTGCACTTGGAGCCCTCCTCCTCCCAGGACTTCCCTGAAAGAATGGGTAAGCACTTACTTGAGACATGCTTGGGCAAAAAAAACTGTGTTTCCAGAACAACTGGAGAATCTTCCCAAAGGGGAAAAAAAGTCCAAGAAACACACAAGAATTGCAGAAAGTGCTGTGGTTGCCCCAGCCATTGCTTTAGTTGTTTCATGTCAGTTACCTTCCGCTCTGGGGTTTGACTGCCTTTTTACTCGGCCTCTCCCCTTCTCTTCCATCCAAGAAAACCTGATGTGGATAATTAGAGTCAGTCAGTCAACATCTTCCAACGGGGTGTGTAGGCTGTGAGTAAAGTCCAGCCCTGGAGTCTGAACTGGGACGGAAACAGGCTGCCCCGCGTGTTCGTCGTCTCATCTTTCATTCACGTTTGACTTGTCTTGCATTTGATAGAGTAAAGCAGGACAAAGTCTTCATTAACCAATCAAACAAAGGCGTTAACCCCGTGAGGATTTTGAATCCAGGCCTGATAGAAATTCAGAAAATTACAAAGGGGCACGAGGCTACTTAGATGAACTTGGAAGATGCTGTTACCAGGTCAACTCTCTGTAAATCACCTAAATTCAGCTCTTAAGATTTTCATGACTGTAGTGATCAATACTGATTTTAGTTATATTACTCCTAACGTTTGTTGGAAGGAAAGCAAAGAGCCTTACTTGTATAATTTCTTTAGACAGGCTTTTGACTTGGAGCTGCGTTAGTCCTTCTAAGGGCTGCATTATTAGCTGTGACCCAGGAGATGGCAGTGTGCCTTTCATTTTGGGATTTGGCTGTGAAGTCTTGGACCTCCCCCTGTAAGCTGTCGTGTGTAACAGGGTGATGCATTGCAAAATCATGATGTAATGCGTTTGTGGATCTACTATATACATTAGAACATTAATAAAAAGTTGAATCTGAAATATAGGAATGGGGTTGTGTTATATATTCATAAAATTACTTATTTTTATCAATCAAATAGTGCTCACTTTACCATGCTGGCTATTCAGTGGGTGAAATAGAAATATGTGAACTCACACGGCTAATAGAAATAAAACAGAAGACAGTTACACATTGAATGCAATAGGAGTAAAGAGAAAGGAGTGATTACCACAGTCTGACATCGGCAAGAGGACTTTTCAGGGGGAAGTGGTAATTTAAAGGATGGGTACGGACTTTGGGATAAGGGTGGGTGATTAAACACATTCATTCTCCCTGCCCAGGTCCTACTAAAATAGTAAAGGATTAAAAATGAATAAATCATAAACAGCATAAAGGCAACTGCATTAGGAGACATATCAACACATTTTGGGAAGATGGAGGTGGAGGTAGTTTAGGAAGGATTTGCGTGAAGGAGCATAAGGAAGGTGTTACAGCGTGAATTGTGCTCCACCCCAGAATTCACATGGTGAGGCTCTAACTGCCAGCGCCTCAGAATGTGACTTGATTTGGAGATAGGGTTCTTAAAGAGGGAATTAAGTGGACCCAATCCAATATGATCGTTGTCCTCAGGAGAAAGATCAGGAAAGTTCTGGATCTAAAAAAACAAAGATTAGGACGCAAACAGGTAAGACCACAGGAATGCAAGGAAGAAGGGCTATCTGTAAGCTAAGGAATCCAGAAGAAACCAGTCCTACTGAACCTTGATCCCAGACCTCCTGCCTCTAGAATTGTGAGAAAATGCATTTTTATTGTTTAAGGTACAGTCTGTATTAGCTATGGCAGCCCTAGTGAGCTAATACAGAGGCACTCGACATTCCAGAACCCTTGAGAGACCAAGGAAAACCAGGTGCAATAGGTAGGTGTCTATCATTAATTTTTTGAAATTCTCACTATTATTACTTTAAATATTTCTTCTTCTGGTATTCCTATCACGTGTATGTTACACCTTTTGTAATTGTCCCATGGTTCTTAAATATTCTATTCTGTCATGTTTTTCCTTTGCATTTCGGTTTTGGAAGTTTTGTGTTCTTCATTTAGATCTCTGATTCATTTTGAGTTAGTTTTTAAAAATTGCGCTGCCCAGGTCTTCCCGTGTCATGTTGGATGAGAGTGGTGAGAATGAATTGTCCCTGGCTTGTCCCAGTTTTGGGAGCAGCCGTCTTTCCCTGGAAGCAGAGTGCTCACTGTCGGTTTTGTCTGTTTTGTTAATGCTCTTTATCAAATTACGGAAAGTTCCTTCTATTTTTATTTTTCTGAGAATTTTGTTTAAAAATTAAGAATGAATGTTAAATTTTTTCAAAAGCTTTTTCTGTACATAATGAGATCATGTCATTTTTTTTTCTCATTAGTTTTTTAATATGGTGGATTACATTGATTGGTATTCAAATATTCAATTAGGCTTGGATCCCTGGAATAAATCTCACTGGATTATGGTTTAACATATTTTTATGTGATGCTGAATTATGTTTTCTGATATTTTGTTAAGGATTTTTTATATCTATATTCATGTTGAATACTGGTTTGTAGGGGTTTTTTGTACTGTCTTTGGTTTTGGTGCCAGAGTAATACTGGCTTCATAACATGCATTGGGAAATGTCATCTGTTTTCTGGAAGAGAGTGTGTACAATTGGTACTAATTTTTTCTTCAAACATTAGACCACGTTCTTCAGTGCAACAATCTGGGCCTGGAAATGTATTTTTTATGGGAGTGGGGCTACAGTTAATTTACAAATTAAAAATTTTAAATATTATTAAGTTATTTCACACTGAATGATAATGGTAGCTTTGTTTTTGTGAGGTATTGATCCATGTCTTCTAAGTTGTCAGATGTGTATGTACAAATCTGTTCGTGATACTTTTTATCCTTGAAGTAATAATTTCAATGGTTTTAAATGTGTTGAGATTAGTTTTGTGGCCCAGGATATGGTATATGATTTGTGGGCACTTGAAAAAACTATGCATTCTGCTGATGTGGGTGGAGTATCAAAATTTTGTAAACATCAGCACATTGGTTGATGGTGTTGAGTTCTTCTGTGTCTTTGCTAATGTTTTTTCCAGTTCTATTAATTGTTAAGAGAGGAGTGTCGATATCTCCAGCTATGATCATGGTTTGTGTATTTTTTACTTAAGTTCTATCAGTTTTTGTTTCCTGTATTTTGCAGCTCTGCTCTTTGATACCTACACATTTAGGATCTCTATGTCTTCTTGGTGGATGGATCCTTTTGTCATTATGTAATGTTCCTTCTTGTTTCTAGTGATTTTCTTTGTTCTGAAGCCTACTTTGCTTAATATTAATATAGCCACTGCTGCTTTCCTTTGGTTAATCTTTGCATGATATGCCTTTTTCTGTCATTTTACTTTCAACCTTCTTGTATCATTGTATCAAACTGAGTTTCTTGTAGACAGTGTATAGTTATGTTTTAAAATCCAACCTCCTGATTTCTGTATATTTAGTTTGTGTATTTAGACCATATATATATATGTACATACATACACACACACATACATATATATACTTAAATATATTTTATTGGTTATGCCATTACAATTGTCCCATTTCCCCCCTTCATTCCCCTCCACCCTGCATACCCTCCCCACCCACATTCCCTACCTTTAGTTCTTGTCCATGTGTCATAACTTCTTTAGCTTCTACATTTCCCATACTATTCTTGCCCTCCCCCTGTCTATTTTCTAACCACCATCTATGCTACTTATTCTCTGTACCTTTTCCCCCTTCTCCTCCTCCCACTCCCCTGTTGCTAACCCTCCATGTGATCTCCATTTCTGTGGTTCTGTTCCTGTTCTAGTTGTTTCCTTTTGTTTTAAGTGTGGTTGTTAACAATTGTGTTTGCTGTCATTTTACTATACATGTTTTTTATCTTCTTTTTCTTAGATAAGTAGTTTTAACATTGCATGAAATAAGGGCTTGGTGATGATGAACTCCTTGAACTTGACCTTATCTGAGAAGTACTTTATCTGTACTTCAATTCTAAATGAAAGCTTTGCTGGATAGAGCAGTCTTTGATGTAGGTCTTTGGATTTCATGACTTGAAATACTTCTTTCCAGCCCCTTCTTGCCTTCAAGGCCTCTTTTGAGAAATCAGCTGACAGTCTGATGGGGACTCCTTTGAAGATGACAGTCTCCATATCTCTTGCTGCTTCTAGAATTCTCTCCTTCATTTCAGTTTTGGCTAATGTAATTATGATGTGCCTCAGAGTGTTCCTCCTTGGGTCCAACTTCTTTGGGACTCTCTGAGCTTCCTGGACTTCCTGGAAGTCTGTTTCCTTTGCCAGAATGGGGAAGTTCTCCTTTATTATTTGTTCAAATAAGCTTTCCACTCATGGCTGTTCCTCTTCCCCTTCTGGTACCCCTGTAATTCGGATGTTGGAATGTTTAAAGATGTCCTGGAGGTTCCTAAGCCTCTCCTTATTTTTTTGAATTCTTGTTTTTTCTTTTTTTCTGTTTCTTTCTTTCTTCCTTCTGGTCCACTCCATTGATTTGAGTCCCAGTTTCCTTTCTATCACTATTGGTTCCCTGTGCATTTTCCTTCATTTCACTTAGTGTAGCCTTCATTTTTTCATCTAATTTGTGACCAAATTCAAGCAATGCTGTGAGCATTCTGATCACCAGTGTTTTGAACTGTGCATCTGATAGGTTGGCTAGCTCTTAATTGCTTAGTTGTCTTTTTCCTGGAGCTTTGATCTGTTCTTTCCTTTGGGCCATTTTTTTTTTTGGTCTTGTTGCGCCTGTTATGTATGAGGGGCAGAGCCTTAGGTGCTCACCAGGGTGGGGCAACCCAGTCACTGGGTTGTGATGCTGTGTGTGGGGGCGAGGTCCGAGAGGTAACAATGGCACTTGCTCCTGCTCTCTGTCAGATTTCAGTCCCTTCCCAAACTCTCCTCCAAGCAAACTGGGCCTTTCTGTTGCTGATTCCTGGGTGGGTGGGCTTGTGTATGTTCTGGGACCCTGTGGGTCTCTCCAACAAACTCTCCTGTGAGGTTGGGGGTCTCTCCAGCACTGCAACCCTCACGGGTGTTTTCAATTGGTGTTTTGAGGCTTTATTTCCCCAAGCTGGGACCTTGGGTTGTGCCATCTGTCTTGCTCCCCAGTTTCGCCTGGTTTATCTGCTTGTGAATATAGGACTGTCTGGTCAGCCAGTCGCCTTGTGCACTGTGATCAGCTTCAGAATCACCACCTCGGTGGGTCTGCCCATTGCCACCCCATACCTGGGGTCTGCCAGCCACTGCCCGTGTGCCCAGGGTCCGCCCGCTGCCCCCTTGTGCTCCTGGGGTTTGTCAGCTGCTGCCTTGGGATCCCGGTGCCACTTTTTTTTTTGCCTCAACCCTTCTTTGCCTGACCCCACACCTCCTACTGGTTTGGAGGAATGTTTCTATTTTAACTCCTTGGTTGTCAGACTGCCGTACAGTTCAGTTTTCTGTCAGCTCCGGTTGTTATTTTGTTTCTAAATTGTTGTTGTCCTTATTTTGGTTGTGCAGAGGAGGCACGGTATATCTACCTATGCCTCCATCTTGGCTAGAAGTCTTAGACTATTTATATTTAATGTAATTATTGAAGTGTTAGGACATGTCTGCTCTTTTATGTTTTCTGTATGTTCTTACCATTTTTCACTTTTGTTTTTTTTTTCTTGCCCTTTTGTGTGTTACTGGAACATTTAAAAATTCCATTTTGATATACCTATCTTTTTTTAAAAGTGTATCTTTTAATATAGCTTTTTTATTGCTTGCTTAGTTTTACATTATATATGTATAATATAAATACATTATATACATATAACTCACCAAAGTCTACCGGTGTCATTTCACCAGTTTGAGTGCAGTGTAGAAACCTTACCTCTCTTTATGTCCCTTCATCCTCCCCTATTCGTAAGTCTTCAACATTTTCTCTGTGTACATTTAGGACCATATCAGACAATGTGATAAAGTCCGGACTCCCCATCAGGCCTCCTTTGAAACAGCCCATCAGGGAGGGGGATGGGCATCTCCTTCCTGCTGGGTGGGGGCGGGAGTCAGGTTGCCCCATGTGGTCTCCACTGATACTGTGAGTGGTTGGCCTGCTGCTTACTGGCCAGTGGGGACGAAATTCCTGGCTCCCCATTTGGCTTCACTTACATCCACCTTTTTGGGTGTGGGAGCCCCTCATTAGACCCTCATGAGTGGCAGCCAAGGCTTCCTATTTGGCCTTTGCTGGGGTGGGGGAGAGTGGAGCTACAGATTCCTCTGTGGTGTTTGCTGCATGGAGTAGGACAGCTTTTACGTAAAAGTTTCTGTCTGGTTCCTTTCTTGATCCTTTGGTGAGAGAGAACAGAATTTCAGGGGGCTTTCGGTATGTGCCCCTGGCGTTTCCAGGCTGCGGGTCTCTTCAGCAACACATTTGGAATATATGAAGCGAAACACCAACCCAGAACATTCAACCCTGTGTTCTTTGGGTCCCGAAGTCCCTCGTCAGCCTTCCTCTTTCTACTTTTCAGTCTTCTTATGTTTGATTTCTAAATAATGTCCAGAGTTTTTAATTGTACTTAGCAGAAAAAAATAGGGAAAGTACACTTGCCACTGTTTGAAAATATTTTATGTACTTTCAAACTTAATCGCACCAGGTAAATTAAATAAAAATGTATTCATCATGCTTGGTCCCTCACTTTTTCTTATTTTCCATCAGGAAGTCCTCTTAGTGCTATCTCTGGAGATAGATATCTCTGAGTCAGATCCTGTCCTCTCCGCCTTCCATCAGCCAAGGTCAAGTCAGCATGTCTTTCCTGACCACCACAGTTAGGGAGCTGGTCTCCCTGCTTCCCCTCTTGCTCCTACAACTCAATCTCTACACAACTATTAAGAGTAAACTTCTAAAAACAAATTACTTCATATTATAACCCAGATTAAGAATCTTTAAAAGGCTTTTCATTACACTTTGAATACAATATGAATTTGTTATCCTAGTCTATTAAGTCCCCAAATATCTACCCCTTGCCTACATCTCCAACTGCGTCCCCTCCATTCCTCCTTTAAATCAAAATGCTCCCATCATACTTACCTCATTTTTCTCTCCTAAGTCCTGTATCTCGTACCTGCCTCAGGCCCTTTGCATTTGCTATTGCAGAGCCCAGAGTGCACTTCTCCCAGGTATTCACAGGGTTCCTTTTACTCCTGTGAATTCCAGCTTAATCCTGACCTCTTCTGAGAAGCCTTCCCTACCACCTCCCTTACCTAAATCACTTTCTGTATCAACACCCTGTTTAATTTTCTCTAGTGTTTGCCACTAATATCTCTGGTCTATTGTTTACTAGCCATTAGCCATCTTTTCCCTCCTAGATATAAACTTCATGAGATCAGGGTCATTGCCTAGTCTCTCTACTGAGACATACTGGGGACACAGTAAATAACTTGTACTGAAAATGGGTTTAACTCTCATTGAGCTAATTATCTATAAGGGTCTATGTTGGGTGCAAGACTATTTTACACCTGACATATCATTGCATCAGAACACTGACTTTTTGCTACAGATATCTTTATAAAGGAGGAAACTGAGGCTTGAGGAGATTCAGTACTTCCCCCAGTGGGGGTGAATTCGAGTCCGCCAACATTCACCGAGGGCGCGCTGCATGCCAGGCCCAGTGCACAGTGCCAGGAGTGCGAAGGGGATTACAGCAGGGCTCGTGCCCGCTATTGCTCAGGCTGGTGCGGGAGACAGAGCACAGACCTCTCTTTGTACTGCACTGTGATGTGCGGGCCCGCAGTGGCAAACATCATCCCAAAGGTAGGAAGAGAACACTGAAAGAACTGTGTGACTAATTCTGTGGGATGGTTGGATGTAGATTTTGAAAAGCTTTACAGAGAAGATAGTGCTTGAGCTTGGCCTTCAGAGATGAGCAGGGCTTTGCCGGGTGCAGAAGAGGCAATAAGGGCTTTCCAGGGAAGAAGAGATGTGAAAGCAGAGAGGCTGAAAGGGCGCACCTTCCAGCAGGTTAGCTGTTTGGAAGCTGGACCTCCACACACGCACTAAGGTCAGCATTAACGTGAATCTGGCTGAAACACTGAACAGGCTCATTCTTTTCTGAGTTAATGAATTTTTGATCTACCTCCTAGAGTCAATAAAAGTTAGCTTTGTGTAATTTTTCTTCAAAGGGTTGTGTGGTTTTCCTCAATTAGCCTCTTGTATTTGAATGAACTTCGGCTGCACCACGTAGAAGGGGGGAAAGGGCGTGGTACACTCACAGAGAGCCCGGTTTGCTTGTCCGGGTGGCACAGGCTGAGGAGCTGTGCTGGGGAAGGCTCTCTTACTCCCTGCCAAAGTGACCACATGGCATGATGTCGCCGAACTAGGAATTCTGCTGCGGAGCCGACCTTGCTGACTGGAACACAAACAGCACTGGAAGAGAAACACATAAAACTGTTACTGGATGTTAAAACCTCCCGGAGAATGAACTTGTGAGCATCCTCCCTCGGTGCTATCCAGTGTCCTCAGGGACAAGGGAGCAGGGTTTTGGCTGTGGGGGAATGACGAGAAGAATAAGGACGAGTGTCGAGTGCATGCCGAGCTAGGTGCTCTGGTGCTTTTTGCATTTTAATATACTCAAGGCTATTCTCTTAAATTTGCAGGTTGGCTCCGTGAGGCACATAGAGGTTCAGTAGCTTGACTGAGGTCACACAGCTAACAGTCCTAAAGCTGGAATTCAAACCCAGGTCTGCTTCCAAATGACACTGCCCCTCTACACCACCCCGTGCAGTAGCAGGGGTCACTGCGGTGGAGGGGGCGGGAAGGATGGGGGTGGTGAGCGTGGCAGGAAAAGAATGGCAACGGGGCAGGTAGAGCCCGGAGGTCACAGTGCACTCAGTTTGCAATCACACTGGGCTGGCCCCGAGATCAGCGCAGTCTCTCTGGTCCAGGAGTTGTCTCCCTGACCTTATCTCTGTGCCGTCTTCTGAGCGTTTGGGGGGACAGAAGCATTATGTGTGGATTGGCTGGTAAATTTCCTGACAAAAAAGAATGTACCGGACAAGTGTTTTAAGTGGCCTGCTTGCTTACTTCTTGCGGTGAATCTGCGGCTTGGAGGTGATCAGAGACCCTTTCATCCGATGGCACATCACGGAGGAGTCGGGCAAACAGCGTCAGGTGCAGACTGGCTTGAGCCCACCGTCCCCCCATCCTTGGGAAGACCTGTGTGATTCTCGGCCAGGTTCCCTTCCTGCTCATACTCAGGTCCCTTGGAAGCAGCAGCACGACTCCTAAGAATCTGTCACCCAGAAATGAGGACGACAGTCTGCAGGGAACGGCTTCCTCTGCGTGTTACATAAGTTTTGTCCTTCAGAGGTTACAGAGGATCGTACACAGAGCCAAACAAGAAAGCTGTTGTGCAAGTTGTGATTGGGGCGCCCCCCCCCCACACACACACAGCAGTGGCCTGCCCATCTCCTACTCCTTGTATTATAGATGTGCAACAAAATACAAAAGGCCTTCAAGTGGCAGGCAGTTCTCCACTCTGCGGTTTCTAGCCCCCAAGCAGGCTGTCCGTGGGGTTAATGTCAGGGTCTCAGTCCCCCGCAGGCCATGCCAGGGCGCTCCCCCTTCCTCGGAGCTGGACGCTGGATATCGCTCACTCTTTCAGTCCTTTAGGGAACAAGCATTTTATTCGGTGACTATCACTACATGTACCTTGAACAGTCACTTAAGTTCTATGGATTCAGTGGCCAAGGAGATAATGTTGGCTCTTTATTACAGTGAAAATAAAATCTCATCAGCATCAGGGAGACTCTGCTTGTTTATTTCACTCCAGCCACACTGCTTTCTATTCCTCGAACATGCCTGGGGCCTCTCCCTGTCTCTCGTCCCTCCTCATCTGGCAGGTCTCAGCTCAGAGGTTGCCTCCTGAGAGAGGTCCTCCCCATCACCCAGACTGAAGCTACGCTCTCTCTGTGGCCACTCACCTGCACTGGCCATGCTCTAGCCAGTGCATCTGCTTCTTTTATTGCAACCATACCATTTATCGCTACCTGATTTATCTCTAATTTATTGGATATTTGTTTCTTGTTTGTGTGCTCCCCTCCAGAATGTTAGCTTCCTGCAAACAGGAAATTTGCCTGTTTACTATACTCCTGGCACTTGAGTAGCTCAGAAGAATCTGTAGTAGTTGTTCAATAAATTTTGTTGCATGAATGCATGGATAAATGGCAGTGTTCTTGCCTTTCTGCTTGAAGTCTAGAGAGGTGGCATCACATTAGAACTTAACTTCAAGAGTCAGGCAGCTAGGGTTTGAATCCCAGGTCTGGGGCTGGTGATCCAAAGTCCCTGAACTTCTGATTCTCCCTCTTTAAAAAGAAGATAGTACTCAAACACCCAACTTCAAAGAGTTGGTGTGGTGATTAAATGAGAACGTTCATCTAAAGTGTGTGGTGTTAGGTTTGCAACATAGCAACAATAAATGTTGTTTTATTATTATTGGGAGTGAAACTAATGGGAACCAAATAAAATGTAAAAGCCTGTAAGAAAATGTAGTGAGTGGGATCTAGGTAGGTGGAGGACAGGCAGTCCCAAATGAAGAGCCATATCCAGCCAGTTAGGCCCATGATCCAAATCAATAAACCATTTGATGAGGGTCCTCCCTGGCATCCTAGTACTGGGAGAGTCCCCCCCTGTTCTCCTTGGCCCTCGGTCACTCTTGTCCATTCGCCTGCAGCCTGAGTCAGGCTCTTCATCACAATGGAGGCAGCAGCCATCTAGCTGCGAGCTCTTTGAGATCACTTTCTCTCATTTGCAGTAGATTCTGGGTCACGTATTGGAAGAAACACACCAGCCCTGTATCTGCTGTCTGTTCAGATCTCATGCTTCCTTCTACATGCTCTATCTAAATTAAATCACTGTTCCCTGAGGAGCCCTCTGGCTATCAGCTCCTATTTTTGGAAAAGTAGCCGAAACTCGGATCTCTGAAAACACGATGCCCGAGGGTCCCCACTCTGGTCTGGGCTCCCCCCTGACTGCTCTGCACATGCACACAGGCCACCGTGGCCCTGAAGGTTTCTGTTTCTTTTTTTCCTGCCACTGGGAAATTGTTCAGGCAGGGACACCAGTGGTATCCTGAAGTCAAGCCCTTGTCTACCAGTAATTCCAGGATGTCCCTTGAAGGCTCTGAAGTCAGCACCCCAAGGACAGCACTGAGGTTCTGCTTCTCATGGCTGTCTGGCTCTTTTGTGGATGAGTAGATAGACTCCTGAGAAGAAATGACATGTAATAGCAAGCTAGAGGTCTGCAGGGGGAAGAAGTAAACTTGGAAGCTCAGATTACATACTGGATTGAGAATATTGTCAAAAGCCAGCTGTTAACAGTCCTGGAATCTGTTGCTATTTTCAGTAATACTTGTGAGTAGAGCTGCAGGGTGGGGATGCAGGTACCCGATGGTGCTCCTGTGAGCCAGCCATGCGGAGGTCTCTGTTACAGGGCTGAGGGGCCCATCAGACGGGGAAGTGTGTCAGGACCAAGGGGCCAGGGCTTGGCTTTTGCGTGAAGCACTTACCCTAGAATGGGCACTGCTACCACTGGGTCTGGCTCCTGGGGTGGGGGGATTAACCCTGAAAATGGGGGCCCACAAACAGATGCAAACCCCTTTCTTTGGTTTCCCTCAGCAGAACTTGGACAAACTGGCATTTTCAAGGGGATTTTATCAAACTCTAAAAGAAAACATAGACTATAAAGGAAGACAAACCTAGAAGCATAATAAGCTTAGCTCACACCGTCCAGGTCCCTAGTGTCACCCTAGGCAGTCTGCGCCATTCTGCTGTGTCCTGTGCCCCCTGATCTCAACTCCTAGGCTGCCTCCAGGTGGATGACATCTCTCCCCTGATGGCAGAATCTGGTTTCCCAGAAGTCAGCACTTGGTTTCCCTGATGCTTTCAGTTCTTCAAGGTCAAGGCCAAGGCCAAGGTCAAGGCAAAATGCTAATTCTTCCTCTCATATAGGGACTTCCCACTCAGTTTTAGATGCTGGTCTAAAGATGGGCCTTTTTCCAGCTACCCAAAAAGATGGCACATTTCAGGTGGGATCTTTCTCTGCTTAGAGAAACAGTTTTTTCCTCAACATGCCCAATGGTGAGACAATGAACATTCATTTGAGAACTTCCAACAGAGCTTCATGGAGAAATTGCCTGATAAATGGTGCTCCAATGGGGCAAATTAATTTTTTTAAAATATATTTTATTAATTATTCTATTACAGTTGTCCCAAATTTCCTTTTTCCCCTGGCCCTGCCCAGTACCCCCATTCCCTCCAGCATTTCCCCCCTTAGTTTGTGTCCATGGGACATGCATATAAGTTCTTTGGCTTCTCTGTTTCCTATACTATTCTCAATCTCCCTGTCTATTTTATACCTACTAATTATGCTTGATCCCTATACCTTTTCCCCCTCCTAGCTGAAAACCCTACAAATGATCACCATATCTGTCATTGTGTTCCTGTTCTGGTTGTTTGCTTAGTTTGTTTTATAGATTCGGTTGTTGGTAGTTGTGAATTTGTTGCCATTTTAATGTTCATAGTTTTGATCTTTAAAATTTTTTAAAATATTTTATTTCTTTATTTTTAGAGAGAGGGGAAGGGAAGGAGAAAGAGAGGGAGAGAAACATTGATGTGTGGTTGCCTTTCACATGGCACCCACTGGGGACCTGGCCCACATCCCAGACATGTGCCCTGACTGGAAATTGAACCGGTGACCCTTTGGTTCACAGCCCGTGCTCAATCCACTGAGCTACACCAGCCAGGGCTGATCTTCTTTTTCTTAAAGAAGTCCCTTTAACATTTCATGTAATAAGGGCTTGGTGATGATGCCCTCCTTTAGCTTTACCTTGTCTGGGAAGCACTTTATCAGCTCTTCAGAGTAATCTAGATTGTAGGTCCTTGCTTTTCATCACTTTGAATACTTCTTGCCAGTCCCTTCTTGCCTGCAAATTTTTTTTTGAGAAATCAGCTTATAGTCGTATGGACACTCCTTTGTTGGTAACTTTCTTCTTTGTCTTGCTGCTTTGAAGACTCTATCTTTAACCTTGGCATATCTTTAACCTTTTAATTATGATGTATCTTGGTGTGTTCCTTTTCAGGTCCAACTTGTTTGGGACTCTCTGTGCTTCCTGGACTTGTATGTCTATTTACTTTGCCAAATCAGGGAAGTTTTTTTTCATTATTTTTTTCAAATAAGTTTTCACTTTCTTGTTCTTCCTCTTCTTCTACTGACACACCTATGATTTGGATGTTGGTATGTTTGTAGATGTTCCAGAGGGTCCTTATACTATCCTCATTTTTTAAAATTCTTTTTTCTTCTCCCTGTTCTGATTGAATGCTTTTTCCTTCCTTGTGTTCCAAATGATTGATTTAATTTTTGGCTTCTTCCTCACTCTTGATGTTTCCCTGTAGATTTTTCTTTATTTCTCTTAGTGTAACCTTCATTTCTTCCTTTATGTTGTTGCTGTAATCAGTGAGTTCTTTGAGCATACCAAGCACCAGTGTTTTGAACTCTGCATCTGATAGGTGGTTATCTCCATTTCCTGTGATTCTTTTCCTGGGGTTTTGTTCTGTTCTTTTATTTGGGCCATATTTCTTTGTCTCCTCAATTTGTCAATCTCCCTGTGTTTGTTTCTGTGTATTAGGTAGAGCTGCTTTGCCCTCTTGTCTTACTAGCATGGCCTAATGTTGAAAAGGCACCTGTAAATTGTGTGGGGTGGAGCCTTAGGTAATTCCCCAGAGTAAGGCAACATGCTTCATTGCTCTGTGTGTGGGGAGGGCTTGGAGATGGGACCGTGCCACTGCCTGGCTTCTGGAGGTTTGCCTGGCACACTTGCCCTGTTTCTAGTCACTTCACCCACTTCCCGTATGTGACTGGTGCCCCTCCGGCTGTTGCCCTGGTGGTGAATCCCACAGGGGGTAGGTTTGTGTACATTCTAGATCTGTGGAGGCCCTTTAAACAGAGACTTCTGATGATCTGGCAATTTCTTTTGTTGCCCCAACTCCCACTGATTTTTACAGCCAGAAGTTATAGGGATTTATCTTCCTGGTGCTGGACCCTGGGCTGTGTGGTCTAACCTGGGGCTGGGATTACTTGCTCCCAAGGAATCCCTCCCGATTTTTATCCACCACACGTGAATGTGGGACCATCTTTTCCATGGCCGCTGGCTCTTCACGCCACACTGCATCTTGCACCTCTCAGACTGTCTCTGCGATTCTGCCCCTTCCTGCTTGTCTGGATGAATGTGGATTCTTTAAATCCTTGGTTGCCAGACTTCCATACAGTTTGATTTTCTGATGGTTCTGGGTGTGTTATTTGTTTGGAGATCTAGTTATAATTCTTTCTATGGTTGCATGAGGTGGTGAAGCATGTCTACCTATGCCTCCATCTTGACTGGAAGTCCCTAAAGAGTGAAGGTTTAGAAAGACGCAGTTTGGAAACCTTTCCCTTTTCCTCAGTGCCTTTCTCAGTGTATCTCTGTTTTGGTGTCATTCATGACAGTCACACATTTAACATATTTCTCGTCACTAATTATACCTGTGAGCTTTTCTTAGCTTCTCTGCAGGTGGGGTTTCCATACTGTGCGGTGTGCAAGGAGCACCGCCTTCGCTGCAGTGGGAAGGGTCTCGTCTCTGGGGGGGGGGATTCTTTCCTACAGTGTGGGAGGAAGAGTTTACTGAACTGCGTGGTTTCCACATTTTAACTCCTAAACATGCCTTTTATACCTTTCATATCTCAGTGAGCTCCTTATTTTTCTACCAGATACCACCTTTAATAAAACATTTGCTTCCTTACTTTTTCTCTTCTTTTTAAAAGAAATTTACTTTTCCATGACAGTTGATATTCAATATTATTTTATATAAGTTTCAGGTGACTTGCTCACTTTTAAAATGCAAATTTGTTGGGCTGACATTGATTAATAAGATCGTATAGTTTCAAAAGCACGTTTCTTTGATCCATGATCTATATACTACACTGTGTGCCCAGCACCCGCAGTCAAATCTGCCAAGCCGTGGAGACAACCGAAGGGCCTTCGGCAGCGGAGTGGCCAGAGAAGCCGTGGTGCACGTGTAATATGGGACACCAGTCAGCCGTAGGGAAAGCCATAGTACCGCCGTGTGTGACAATATCGATGGGCCTTGAGAATGTTATGCCAAGTGAAACAAGTCAGTCAGAGAAAGCTAAGGATCGTATGAATTCACTCCTATATGGAATGTAAGACTGAAACTCTTTGACACAGACAACAGTGTGGTAGTTACTTTTTTTTTGATCCAAGACTCAGCCATTCATTTTTATGACATAACCAGTGTTTCTCCACTGAGGTGGTAATTCCAGAGCGAGGCAAAGAAACTTAGACATATTAGTCCACAGCTAAGCTGTGTAGCACATGTGATGTTGTTTCATGTTTTAAAATAGCCATGTATCCTTCTTCACGGTGTGGGGGGACACATGAGGTGAAGAGGTTGGAGGAGGAGTTGGTTATGTGCGCCCAAATGGGTTGGTACAGCTGGGGTGGCTGTGGGTGGCGGGGCACGAACTCGGCAGTTCTGGGCAACGAGTGTGGAGAGGTGGCGGGTTGATGAGGTTGGGCTGAGACTGGCTGTGAGGAGGGTCACGGAAGATGGAGCTGCAAGGGGGCGGATTGTGGATCCGCTCACGCACCAGACTGAGCAGCTAGAGAGGGGCCTGAGCTCAGCAGCCACCCTGAGGAGCCAGCCTTTGGGAGACGGGCCCGGCTGCCAGGCGTAAGACGGCCGTGTTCATTTTAATCGCGGAGTTGTAGACAGCAGTGGGTCGAACGAGGAAACCATAACCTATAAATATTTTATTTAGGAAAACATAATATTTACATTACGTTGTGGATTTTCAGATACGAATGCGGCCTTTTCTTTCTTCCCTGCACTGCCTTGCGTCTCTTCCACATCGTCAGTTAGTCGATCCTGTGCCCCTTTCTGCTGGGGAGGGGACCTGGGAGACAGGTGTGCGGGCATCTTCTTGGCTTCTGTTTTCAAAAGCCCTGTCCTCCAAGGAGCAGGAAATGTATTCTGAAGAACAGAAAAAGTATCCTGGCCGGAAACGGAAGGAAAGTGCCATTTTTCAAAGACTAGAAATATAAAAATCTCCGCCTTGTCCCCGAGGGTGGGTGTGACCTGCTTCCCAGCCAGAACCCCCGCGGTCAGAGCCCTCAAGGGCATCAGGACACTGCGGCCGTGGGCAAGTCCCCGAAGGCCTGGGACTCGGAGGGCTTCGTAGACACCGCCCAGTACAAGCCGATGACACGGTCACCAGAAGGGACCCTGTCCCTCCAGCTCCTGGCGCTGGGTAGGATTCCAGAACCGTGGCTGGAAACTGATGCTTCTGCGTGTGTCCCCTTTCCTCGCACACTACTGCCCTTGCAGCACCGCTCACCCCCCCGCGCGGAGGTTTCTCCCACCCCGAGCCACTCTCTGTGGCGCCAGCTGGGGGCCCCACCATTTCACTCAGTCCTGACACTGTCTACCTGGGGATAGTGTCAGATTCTACCGGTTAAGGGCTCAGTCCCAAGAGACAGCCCCCACTGCAGATGCCAATCCCAAGTAGCAGGTCCTCAGACTGTGGACACTTCTGTCTGACTTGGCTACAGATCAGAAGTGCCCATGACCTCCTCTTCCTTGAATTCAGTTATGTGAGCTAGAACAGCTCAGAGAACTCAGGGAGACATGTTTATCTGGTTAATTTATAACAAAGGATCTGATACAGGATACAGATGAATAGTTAGCTGAAGATATATGTAGGGGTCTGGGAGGGTCCGGAGCACAGGGGCTTCTGTCCCTGTGGAGTTGGGGTGCCCCACCCTCCCAGTGTGGATGTGTTCACCTACCTAGAAGCTCCCCGAACCCTGTCCGATGGCAATGTCTATGGAGGCTTCCTCACGTGGGCACGACCGAGGACTGCCTCCGTTTCTGGCCCCCTTCCCCTTTCTGGGGGGTGGGGCAGTGGGTCTGAAAAGTCCGAAGTTCTAGTCATGGCCTGGTCTTTCTGGTGACTGTCCCTCATCCGGGAGCTGCCGGAGTCTCTCATTAGCACAGAAGTCACCACCGTCATCCAGGAAAGTCCAGGGGTTCCAGGAACCCTGTGTCAGCTGGTGGGGACAGAGACCAACTGTGCATTTTCTGTTCTCTCTCAGTGGCTCCTCCCAGGGAGAGGCTGGGAACAGCATATTTTCACGCTCCCAGCAGCAGCAGGATTTAAAGCCGCAACTAAGCTGAGTTGTAAAAAATAAAGCTATGATTTTTGACACCAGGGCATATGAATTGAGATTCATACCTGCTACACGGTTAATTTAGCAAGAGTGTAAATTTTCAGCGTACATGGCTATTTGAGTATTGGATAGAAACAGATTTCTGCAACTGTCCATTGGCAAACCTGGGCAGAGAGTTCAGGCCCCTGGCCTGGGGGTGGTGCAGAGGGCCCTGGGCTTGGAGCAGCCCTGCCTTGGAGACAGTCCCGCACTGCCTCACACCAGCATGGTGACTGAGCCAGGGCTGCCATATAAACGCAGGACACCCAGGTAAATTTAAGTTTCAGATAAATAATATTTGGGACATCCTTATTCTAAAACATTATTTGTTACTTATCTGAAATTCAAATTAACTGGATGTCCTGTGGCCTTCTCCTCTAAGTCTGGCAACCCTGCTTTGAGTAAGTTATTTAAACTCTTGGAACTTCAATGTCTTCATTGGAAAGACGGACGGAATGATGCCGCGTTCGAGGCTGTGGTCAGGATGCAATGGGATTGCTGCCGGGGCAGGGTCCAGTTCCCTCCACCCTCTCAGGGTCCCTGGCTGGACAGCACACAAATTTGTTCAGTACAAGTTGTATGTGACATGGGAGCCTTCATAAGGAAATGAAGACCTGAACAAATCTTATTTTCTCAAAGATTTTGTTTATTTATTTTCAGAGAGGGGGAGAGGGAGGGAAAGAAACATCAATGTGCAAGAGAAACACTGACCAGTTGGCTCTTGCACACCTGCAACCCAGGCCTGTGCCCTGATTGGGAATCAAACCGCAACCTTCCGGTCAGCAGGCCGGCGCTCAGTGCACTGAGCCACGCCATCCAGGGCAGATCTGTGTATTTTTATGCAGGATTTGATGAAGAGTGGACAGTTGTGGAGGAATGTGACAGATTGAGGGGTGTCAGGTAGTGCATGCACTGGGGGAAGCTGGGCAAGGCCTGTTTGTTGGGATTTTTCTCCACACCCCTCTGTCTTCCAGACAAGGGCGCCCCTGTCTCCTGGGCTGTAGGGAGGGGCCCCTCCCAGGAGAGCTTCATGACTTAGTTCAGGGGAGAAGGTCAGAGGGACCTTTTGCGTCTTTGGTTTTCTGAAACTCCTTCAGCTTCAAATATTCAACATGCCAAGGTATCATATTTTGGGGTAGCGTGTCCTGAACCCCATCACTACAGTGGATGAAATGATATAGAATCAGTGGTCCTATGCACGTCTACAACGGTTCCGTAATAGTTAAGTCAGGCAAATTCAGGTTTAATTCTTCTGCTAAATAGGTGTGTGTTCTTGAATATTGGCAAAATAAGATAATGATACCTACCTTGTAGTATATACGCCACGAGGCTTAAATGAATTGAAGAATGTAAAGCACTTAGTCCTGAGTAGGGCTTATTATACTGCATTTATGCAAATGTGATGTGACGTTGGTACAGTGAATTGAGGAGACTTGGAAAGGATGATTTATCAAGGGCCATCCCCATACTCAGTGCGGATGGGCCATATCTTCTCCATTAGTTATCAGCAAAGCACAGAAATTGCCAAGTTTATCTGGAGAAGAACTTTACAAATTTTCTTGAGTATGCTAACAGAGAGAACACCTTTGTGAGCACTTTCGAAAACACTAAAAAATTTTCCCGAATCTCCGTGCCTTCTACACACTCAGAAGAACACAACAGCCATGCCTGCCTTTCTCCCCAGGCAGAAACCTCCCTCATAAAGGAACTGGCATTCTCTGCAGCCTTAGATGTATTGCTGGCCTGAGGCGGAAACTCTCCCTGCTTATTAAATAAAACACAGCTGATCTGGGTCACAGGATTAGTGAGTGGTCAGCTGGCCTCGCCTGATTTCTGTAGATCCTTGAGCAGAGGAAGAAAAAAAAGAATTAATCCAGCAGAGCCCCACCAGGGGAGCTGGAGGGGAGGCTCTGATTCCTTTCAATACAGAAAAACATCAAGATGTAACCACAGAGAAATGTAGAAATAGAAGCCAGATATTAGTGACAGCAGCGCTGATTTAAAAAAAAAATGAGCTCATTCCAAAACCATGAATATTTGTTTAGCTTCCTCTCATGAACTACCAGTGCTGACCTGTGCAGGGACTTCCGAGATTAATGGGAAGTGAACTGCTAACAAGTGCGAAGGCCGGCCCCACGGTGCCCCAGAAGCCCCGCCTTCCCCCGCAGCCCCGCCCCACGGCCCGGAGCCCTCCCTAACGGGGCTGCAGGCTCCTTGAAGCTGCTCCGCATTTCTCTCCAGTGTTTCCTTTACCAAGTCCTTCCATTCCAAAGCTTTTACAATCCAATCTCCATGTTGCTGCTTTGTGTCATTTTGAACATTTGGTTGGTTTAATTGCTCAAAAAATTATTTTTTCCCCCTGAACTAATGTGCTGGGGTGTGGAGTGCAGTGAGGAAGGGAATGTATATCCGCCTATAGCACTTGAAGGGTGATAAACAGATTTATATCCATTAAGCTACACGGTCTGAACTGACAGGGAAGATGCCCCTTGGGAATATTCTGACTGGGTTTTTGTGTTGTTTTGTTTCGTTTTTGCTCTTTTCCCCTCACTTCACGATCTTTTGAAAATTTTAAATATTGCAGGCTCGTGACGTCGAAGAATGTCCCTTGATTGGGGTTTGCTTCCGTGTGATTACATTTAAGACTGCAGTTTGGGCAGGAGGATCATAAAATTGCTCCGTGTTCTCATTTCATCTTATCAGTGGCGCATAACTCTGAATGGTTTCACTACTGAAGATGCTGACTTGGGTAATTTGGTTTACTAGAAGTACTCTTTTTTCCTTCGTAGGTAACAAGTATTTGTGGGAAGGGTTGTTGAAACCCTGTAAATATTCCGTTTCTCAACACATTCTTGACTAATTAATAATGTGATTTCCTATTTTATTTATGGATTATAATTTGTTACTCTCATTATTTGGAGACTCAAATTTCCCAAATTGAATTAGTGGCAAGTCTTCCAGTTGGCTTCTGTGCCCTTTCAGGATGGCTTCATCATTCTTTGGGCCCAAGATGTTCTAATGTTGGACCTTCTCCGCTTCAGCCCTGGGATCAACCACTTCTCCAAGGATCCCTGGTTCCTTGGAGTAGCAAGTGGTGCTTAGGAACTAAGAGTTATGTGCTCACTGTGTTCACTACTATTGGGGTGTCACTGCTCTCAGGAGGTCTGAGTACAGATGAGTATATGTATGTTTTGTGCATATAAGTTTACATCTCTGCCTGCTTCTATGTCTAGTATATATTTCACACACTGAGTTCGCCTTGATATCTCCGATTCTATCTCACATCACAGGATTGATTCTAATTTTTCCCCTTTCCGTGATTTGTAACCCCCTTTTCCAACACTGAAAACCGGGGTCCCTTTTCCTTAACGCAGTCACTCATTTGTTCAGTCCTGAACCCCCCCCCTTATGTACCAATGTCCCCTCCCTACCAGTGCTGCTGCTCCTCCCGGCGGACGCTCTCCTCACCCCCTCCGATACCTGCGTCAGTCCTAACCCTGCTGGGGCTGCTGTAGGCCTCCCAGGTGAAGTCCCTCCTCACCCTCCTCAGGCTGTGACTGCCTATGGCTGCCCTCCTGACCGGGCTTGGGCGCTGCTTCCCTACTTTGGACCACGGCAGTCATCCCTACCTTCTGACACAGCCACTCACTTCTGTGACCTGCCTAAGGGCTGTAGGACCGGGTAGTTCAGAGAGGCGAGGGAGGAAGGAGGAAGGGGATAGCAAGTGGAAACACATACACATTTTTAACTCCTGAACATTTTTATATAATTTTGATTTTTTTGACAAATATTTTAGTGTTTAAAAAGAGAGTTCTTAAAATTGAAAACAAATAAATGTAATTATATACCAAACTGGTAACAAACATACCAAGAAAATAAGTGTATCAAATGCTTTAGGAGATAATATTTTAACATGCTTAATGGAGTATGTTCTCAAGACAAAAGAAACTTTAGATTTAATTCAGGAGTTTAAAGCAGTTATAATACTGATATTATTATTATTATTTTGAAACTGATAGACAGGGGTGGGCAAAATTAGGTTTGCAGTTGCAATAACCCTAACCCGCATGTCTTTTTCCATACAAACTAATGTAAACCTGCTTTGCCTACCCTTGTATATTGCAAAATAAAACAAATAAATATGTTAGTGTTCTTAGCAACTAAGTTATTAGTGTAAGAGAGAAGCAATAGGGGTATAAAAATCAAAAGTGTTAAAGTAAAACCTTTGCATTATGTAACTTGAGTTGGAAAGTTCGATATGAACATATGATTTACAACATGTACATGTGTATTTCTCCCCAGCTCTGTCCATTGGAAGGGCCCGGAAGCACTGGCAGCCCCGTTGTAACGAGTGCCCCCAGCCCCAAGAGTTTGGCCTCTAAGTACTTCCCACTGAAGGAAACACGGGCCCTTTAGAGAAGTGGTTGATTCTGGGTCTAGGCGAGGGAGGGTGCAAGGTGAGCCTGGGACATCTGGCTGTGCTTGAAAAAGAGCTACTTTGAAGGAACTCTTATTAGCCAAAGACAGGACAATTCGAGCTTCCAAAAAGGATGACTGCGGTGGAATGAAATGCATTGAATACATAAAAATCTCTAAATCTATAAAATAATACTCAGAAAAGAGAAAACCAAAGACAAAACTCCACGTGTCACTTACTCCTCACTCTGAAAAGTGAAGATTCAAAATAACTATTTACCTTGCTTTACCAGTAGCATTTGATGAGATAAAAATCTCTATTTTGTTCTTTCTCTTATAAAGATTGTCAGTTAGTAAACATAGAATGAATAATAGAAATAGATAAGTCACCATTTAAAATCCCCTAATGAAGTAATTGATTAAGGCAAGA